TAACAAGTAATTTTAACAGTAATACCACTTTACAAACTAATCAACGACTTTTATATATATTGAAATTCTTGTTTGTTTCGTGCGAGAAGTTTGTTCTGCGATTGCAGGAACGAGTATAAAGACTTTTTAATATCGTTCATTTATGATGAAAAAGTTACTTGACTCGTCGGGTCCATTCTGAATGCAATTTTAATCAGTATTCACTCTGTAGCTTCCTGCTAATTAACGTTCTGTAAGTTTGGATGAATTTATAAGAATTAGAAGCGACTTTACAATGTATGCAAATTACTATCGGGGGAAATACCGAGGAAGTTCGTCGTCTTAATAAACCGTCTGCTGTATAATGATTCGTCGGGACTAACGTAATAAAAGGACTTATTCCAGATGAATCTGTTGCTATTAGCTAGGCGGAAAAATAACCGATAAACTCGCAGTTCTTCTGAATCTGACGAAAAATTAAGACGTCTCTTCTTCCGCTTTTTCTGTCGTGTTCTGATGTTTATTACCTCTGTCGTTCCAAGCGATGCACGATTTTTCTTTTCGGCTCGAGACAAGAGACTAATCAGATCTCCGTTTCTTACCGTGGACGAAATTTATTTTGCTCCAGGTAAGAAATTCGACCTCGTTCTCTCCCAATTCCATGGAAAAGATAACTGCTGTGCGATTTCAGGAGTAGAAACCGAGGAGAAACAAGAAAATAAAATGGTACGACGAAAAAAAATTCATTTATCAATGAAAGTTGAACGAATTTCCAATTAAGCCAAGAGAGGAAACGTTGTCAAACTCGATCAACTGGAATATATCCTGTTAACGTCTACCCATCGATATCAGGCAAATGCAACTAGTTTCAATCTCAGACAAAGCCTGGTCTCGCGTCAATCGATCCTGTAATCTGCGAGTAACGATGGTACAGTTTCACAAGTGTTTCCGTCGGAAGACGAAGGAGTTTCCTTGGTGAAACTTTCATGATAGCCTCGGCTAGACCTCTGCAAACGAGCCTAAAACGATGAACCGTTATAGTATCTCAAAGTCAAAGCTAAAGTTACCTTTCCGGAAATACGTCATGCAACATAATCATGTTCGTAGGAGGAATTTACGTTCGGTTTGCAAATTGAATGAAACGTTTTCGTGAAAGATTCAGGAGTCAAAGAGATGATTATCTGTCGAGGGGAAAACATAGTTGAAAGCAAACTGCATTAAAGGATAGTGTTAGTAGGATTTTCAATTTCTTTTTTTCTAGTTTGCAATGATGTAGAAATTGGATTTGACCTGGTTTCCTAATTTGAATCTTATTCCATGGCTGAGTTAGATAGGAGATAAATTGAATCGAAGCACTGTACGTAGTGGACGATCGTTCTCGTCGTCGTTAAAACTATCGAGTTATCGGACCGTGATCCCTGGCGAACTTGTTGAAAATGGTCTCTGTTCAGTATCCACGGGGTGCTGAATTAATATTACGCCTCTTTGTTTCCGGTTGAATAAGCGCACCTATTCGTCGCCGCTCTATAACATAGGATCGGCCAAACTAGGACGCTGAACGCCTTATTTAGTACCGGCGGAATTAACCTAATCCTATTTCCGGTTGGTTCGTGGCCGCGTTATGATCCTCGTGTTAATTCACCGTTTCGTCCCGACGACATCTCGTTCCCTAGCAAACTTCTCGTCCTCGTGATTTTCTAATTAAAATTCCCCCGTAATTACAGAGACGAACGACGTTGATCATTATTCACGTCTTTGTTCCTCGTGAATAGTCCTACGAATTGTCCTGAATAATAGATATAATCCTAGATATATTCAATTATTGTTTGCAGTTGCAGATATTTTTGCAGATTTTTACTAAAAATCATGTAATACGATTAAACGATTACACGCAATTCAATATTTTAAAAACCTTCCATTTGTATTGTAAAAATAAATTTAATATCGAAAAGCAACAGACAAAAGAATTTAAATATGAACGTGTAACGCTCTTTATCATTGGTAGAAAATTTATAATACTGTACGATCATCCGGTTTCAGGGAATACGTTTCTCTCCTTCACGTACTGAATTCAGTTCATAAATTATTGATAAATAATTAATGCTCAATCGATAATCTATGTACATGCGAGTACCTCTCGAGCAAACATCGGTCAAATGTAAACGCCCGATGAATAATTTTCTTTTTACACGATACCACTTGATTCTAACAACGTGGAAAGACGAAGCATTAAAATTCTAAGCGGCGTGCGTTGCCATCTCACCGACCAAAATTCCTGTTATCTATGAGGAAGCACGAGGATCGAGGAGCTTTCGAAGTCTGAAATCTAAGTCCTAAGAGAAACAGAGAACCGCAAGTTTAGAAACAAAGAACCGAGAATCTAAGTCTTTGAACAAGGTGGAAATCTGACAATCAAGAATCAATGTCCCGTGCGTCGCCGACCTTCCGGAGAGATCGCGTGCTGTAACAATAATCGGTCGATGATCAACCATTAATTAAATAATAATTAAATCAAGCTAAACGAGATCTATCTATCTGTAAAGGCGAACGTGCACAAAGGCGTTCACAGTTTTCGCTTGCGTTTGAATAAGAGCGAATGCTGTGTAGGTCAGGGTAGAAAAGCATTGAAGAGCCGCTTGAAGGCAACGAGAGTAACACGCGATGCACTTGAAGAAGCAACTTTCGAATCTCTCCAGCGACATCCTTGCTACGAGACGACTACTTGAATGTAAGGTCCATAATTAAGGTTACCAGATAACGAAGTTATCATCAAGGAACAGCGTCGCGAGAGCGTAGCTTAATACCAGCCAGCTTTTATCGTTCGTACCCGAGGCGATGTTTCCCTAGAACGTGCGTGTGTTCCAAAAAAGATACGTACCGAGAATGGATGATATATAAAAACCCTGAGAAACGAGAGAATTTTTCAGATATACATCAAATTCGAGACACGTTGATTTTTTTGAATAATTGATTTGATAAATGCAGACTATGACTTATATTTTCTCTCATTTACCTTGCGAATATTTCAATAGGAAGAAGCAGGGAGATGCAAAGAACATCGATTTTATTTTACTATTCTCGAAGATTAGTCGTTCTCGACGTAGTTGCTGCAACCGAAGTCATAAATCTCCCGTCTTTCCGCGATGATTTCTTGTATGTACGGCTGGAGATACCGGTACTCCAGATCTTGCTCGTACGTGATCCATTTCTCCTTGGGCAGGTGCATTTTCAGGAAGTCCAATTGAGCCGCTCGCATGGTCCTGTAAAGCATCGGATGTAGGCCACTCGAGAATTATGTACACATAGTTTCGTTCGGCTCGTGGCAAATATGGGAATAAACGAAATACTCGAGCGACGGAAATTCGTCGGCAAACTGTAAACAGTTAATGAACAGGCGTGTTTGAACGGATACCGAAAATTTCTCGCGTCCATCACGTCCTTTGGTAAACGACGTAAAGCTTCTTCCACCAACGGGGTGTACAGGTTATAAACATCGTCGCTGTAAAGACCGTATCGGGGGTACTGTGATAAATTGAACGCTAATTTGCTAATCTTGTAACGCCAATCGTTCGGATCATCTCTGCTAGAAACGCTCTTAGACGAGAACAAACGCGGTTTAAGCAGCGAGGATAATCTTGACATCGTGAGGAGACTTCCAGGTAACCTATTCAGTAACGTTGACACAGCTGTGGAATAAGAGATTGTTGAGAAAATTGATCGTCGATTGAATCGAGCGGAATAATACCCGTTCATCGTTCGATTCGAAGTTTCTATTGATCTTTCGAAACTTTGCCTCGACCGATACCGTCCAACACCATCTTTTTGTATTTCAATTTCTGGAAGATTAGAAACTGACTGGTAGTAAAGTATTTTCCTCTCTGCTACGACGAACCATTAATTTTCCACTTGGCTCTTTCGCACCTACTGCAAATAGTCAGCCTGTACTTCAAGTTGAAAACAAGTTTACAAAGTATCACGGCTTCTCGTCCTACCGGGAATTGTATTTCAGCGAAAGAAAGAGATTGAGAGACTGCACGGTGTAATGGACGTGTCTTCGAACCGAGGACACCCAGGAAGTTGAATTTTAAACGGAGTTGAAGTTTCTTCGAGCGGGGGTAATCGCGCGAGAAACTGACGACAAAGCGTCGAACGTGTTCTTCAACTTCTAATTTTTTTTTTTCTTCCCGGCAAGGAGAACAACCTTCTCGAGGGCGTTTCGCTGTTTACTCAATATTAGAACGTCTCGTCGGGACGAGGTATTCTAACGACGCGAGTGATGAGAGAAAGACGTGTTCGCCAGTCCTGCGGAGAACCATTGTCTCGTAATGGTATGCGAGACTCTTCAGAAATTCTTCTGAATTTCTCGTGAAATCTTTCTTCAATCGCGAGGATCCTTTATACCGTGATACGACCGCAGGGAATCGTTTGCCATTAAAGCGGCGTTTACATTAGGCAACTTTTGATCGCGTTGACTATCAAAGCGACTTTTAAGTCCACGTTTGTGTGCCTAGATTAATAACGCGTATCTCATCGTCAACTATGAACTAGCTCGTAGTTGCATGCAGAAACGGAAGATAAAAAAATTATACTTGCAGAGTTTTCCACGCGATACGAGAGAAGCTGCGATCAGCTTGGCGATTTATGCGAGAAATCGAACCGAGACAATCATCGATGGTGCACGGTTTTGTACGGTGCGAGCGTTTCCTTTGGAAGATCAGCCGCGCATTACACGTAACCAAGGGATAGAGGGAGGAATACGATTTATGTTGGTGGCTGGACTGGTAATATGCCACTGGCAGAGGGTGACCACCCCTTTGTCGTTCGCTGTGCTACGCGGATTTCCGTTTCTGTACGTTTCCCTAGCATCGTGTCCTCTCGCATTTCTTCGACTATCTTGCTTCCCACAAAGAAATACTCGAACGACGTGTTGAAGATTCTTTATTTTATATGTATAGAAGATAAGGATTAAAAGTACTATAAAAAAATATGGATAATGAGAAATATTTTCGATATTTTCGTAGGGTCGATTCTCAGAAGAAAAAAATGCTATCCTTGCCCAGACTATATTTCATTGGAGAAACGAATCGTCGAAAATCCAGCTGTGGTTCCAATAAATCTTCAACCCTATCGAAGAGCATCGGTCACGTTCACGCTGCTACCAGCTGATTTCAATGTAAGTGTTCCTCGATAGAATAATATCTACCTTCTTAACGCTTTAAGATCCGTGCATTTCGTGATTGCGAGAACATTGAAACTACTTTAGAAGAATTGTTTCATTTGCATTTTAATAACGAGCTAAACGCATGAGAGATAACGTGAAAAGCGACGGTCACTTCCTGCTCGGCAACGTCAAAGTGGCTAGGTTAATTAAGCAGAAGAAGCACTGTTTTGTTAATAATTGGCCCTATTTAATTGAATTCATTACGCTCGATAACGTATCCCGCTACCTGTTAATTTGATTGTTCAAGCTTACGAATAAATTGATGACTGAGAATATTAATGCGAAACGGATTTGCCCGTCGAATGTTTGTTGCACATCGAAGCGTGATTAATTGAGGAACACGTGCCGTTCGATTCGTCGACAATCGTTGTTTTAAATTCTAACTGTATGCCCGTGTTCTTTCGCGCGTTGATCATCAATCGTGGTACGCCTCCAATATATCAAGATTCAGGTTCACGCGTTTTGGTAATTGATGCATTGTTCCGTTTATTTTACAACGACAAAATATACTGAGAAAAGCAAAAGGGAAACTATAATACATCGAAGATATCTCACACTCTGCTAAACTGTCCGAAACTCGATAACAGTTCACGGTTTCCCCATGTCAAAGCTCACGGTCCACGGACCCAGCTTCAACGTTCTGTGAATACCAACTGGTGACAGGGTTTCGGCTGTTTCTTTCACCTCGCTCAGCACGTTTTTGGTACGCTCGAATAACTTTCTAGGGAATCGCTTTTTCGATTGCTGGTCCTCCTTATCCCTGTTCAGTTTAGATTTCACCATATCCATAATGAAGTCCATGATATTCCTAATAGGCTGCGGATGTTTACCCATATCGACATTGTCCAAGAATACATTTGTAAATATATCGAATGGATTAACGATTCGTTCTTGAAGGGTAGATTCTTGATCTGATTGGCTAAGAATAAACATTTAATATGGAAATCAAGAGGATTTAAACATTTTAATATGAATAATTATCATTTACCTGGTTGACCTAGAACCCTCCGGTGTATCGTCTTCCTTCGATTCGAACGCTGATCGTTGATTCAATTTATCCGAGTCACCCTGTTTTAAATCGGTAACTCGAGGGTGCAGGTTGAAAGTGGACGGAAGTTGTTCCTTCTTGGAATCGTCATCCGAGACGTCGAGGGTTCCGTTGCGCCTGGAAACTTGCTGATTCTCCCTCGTCAGCTGAAAAAGTTTGCTCGTTTTCGCGGCGTTTTTACGAAGCGGGCTGTCTCTGAGGGACGTACTGACCAACGAGATGAAGCAACGGGAAGTAGACTAATTAACCGACATTGTCGTTCTCACCTGGCCGAAGTTTTCTTGAAGAAGCTGTACGAGTTTGCCGATTTCTTCGACATAACTTTCGTCCTCAGCTTCGTATCGCGATTGAATTACACTCGCATTCTGTGGTTGCTTAGAATTTCCATTCTGACTCGCTTGCCCGTTGCAATTGACCATTGAAATTACAATGACATAGTAAAACGTGGCTAGACACACTCCAAATGACGAAAGTAGCTTCATCGTGATCGTTCGGTAGTTTCAACTGTTTCCTCTTGAGTTTTAGTCGCTATTTTATAGGCCCACCATTCGGCAGCTGGTCTGATCAGGAAGAATTATTGCGTGGATGATAAATTATGTTAACTCGGAGTGTTAGTTGGTTAATCATCGTTTGAACAGTCTGTTTGTAACTCCATAACTATGAACGATTGTTGACTAATTGTTGGAATGTAGGAACAAGTCAAACACAGATGGTCCTGTCTGCTACTTTAACGAACATCTCGAGGACGTTCTTCATAAAATTATCGATATTGAAATTCAAAGCGGACTATTTTTAGGAAACGCTTCGAAACTGTTTTCGTGACGCCGATTCGTAAGAAATTTTCTTACCGCGGCAGCAGGATTCCAGCAGGATCAGCTTTACTGGTAGGACGAAGCACGGCGCGTATCGACGGACCAAGGATATAACTTTCGCGGAAGAGCGAAACTTTTCCGAACTATCATCGTTTTTCATGCAACTTTTCCGTTTCCCTCCGTTCGCGAACATTCGGGCATTCGTAACATTTTCGCGGGAGTTTTATCGTTTTCCGATCGTAACGCAGCATACTTGTCTTCAACTCCTCTTGCATTTAAATTAAATGATTATTCCTTTTCTTTTTGCAAGAGAAATCGACAATTCTTTAATATTTGCAATCAGTGTCTCTCGTGATTGCCATTTCCTGTGAGAGTCAAAGAAAATTCCCGTCAGGATTTTCGGATATTTTCGTCCTTTCCAGCCCATCACGTACCGGCTTCAGGATCAGCCGGTCGTTTGAGTGAGCTAATTGTGAACGTACCTTTAACACCAACCGTGCCGTCTTGCATTTTAACACAGAGCCTCGAACGTTTCTTGGATCTTCTTCCGTGATGAAAGGAAGGCTGGCACAAAGAAGCTTCCTCTGCTTGGAAATCCGCAAAATAGAAGTTCCCTTTCCATTGGTAGCTCGCGAGATATCGTGCGGCGAGCGTCAATGAAGATCCCATTGATGAGTTCGAAAAAGAAAATCGATCAGCTTTCTATTTTAACGCGACGTCGGTTTCGAGGATGAATAGCAATTCGCGTGGAAGCACGATGGACGTTGCACGAAATGCATACACGTTGAAGGAACTACTTGAGAACTGTTTTGCAAATGGAAGTGCAATCGGAAGTTTCCAGCTGCCCGTGTGCAACATAGTCACGGTATTTCGGTCGGCAATTACTGCGACCGGAAATGGAATAGGAGCCATCGCGAAACCATGCCGAATGAAGCGCACAGGCAAATCAATGTTAGTTGCAGTAAATTTGATTTGATCGCCGCTTGAATTTATTAAGATACTTGGAGGACCATTGGTTAGAGGCAAATTGAGCCGAAATTATCTTATAGAAGTTCCTCTCAATTGCTCTTAAATGGCAATTCAAAATCGATAGAAACAGATAATTGAGGAAATATCAAGGATTCAGAAATGAAAATTTTCTCTTTCATTTAAAGAATATCTTTTTATTTTTTAGTTATTGTCCTTCATTGATAAATATATGAATATTGTGCGTTTATAATTGAGCTATTAATTATTATCGTTTAATTAATTGCACTCTATACAGATTCTTGCGCCTTCCGGTATTCGAAGACGCTTCCTCGTTCGACGAATCCTTGAAAGTTTCTCTGAATCGAAGCAGCCTTTTCTCCGGGTTGTCCGTAACCACCGCCCCCTGGACTCTCCAGAATAAAAGTATCCTGAGAAGAATTCATAAATTACAACGGAGTTATTCGCGGTGTAGTTCATTGTGTCGCGGTCCGCTTTGTGCAACACGCGAATATAGAGAATAATCCTCCGATGATTGCACGAGAATAGAAAAATTTGGTGCGTTGTTTCATTCTCTGTTCCCTCGCCTTCTGTCTTCAAAAGAAAAATGAAATTGGAGGTCGTAGAGGTGTTGCGAGCGTGTAGTGGAAACTTCCGTAGGGAAAACTTCGAAGATTGTGATCATATTTCATTTTTCTGTGCAAACGTAAAAGTTTCCCGAAACATGGTTGCACGGTTTTATGAATAAGTATCAAAGTAGTATGGACGGGAATTTTTCAGACGGTTCATAGCAACTCGTACGCGATCGACTCGCAAATATCGAGTTTTGTCGAGATAAAATCTTTACGAGACAGTATTTAAAAATCGCGTTGGTTTCTTCTAATTTAGATGCACGAGACCATTCGAATTTTATGGGGTCGCGTAAATTTTTATGCGATTTGTGCTTTCGTATCGAGGTTAGTTGTTTGTAAAATGAATTAGGTCAGTCGAATCGTGTGTTCTTACCCCGGGATGGACTGGTACGGCTGTTTTTGGACCCAGATTGATCTTTCTGCCATCAGCTCTTTGCAGCGTATTTCTTCCCCTTTCTCCTGGCAGTCCTCCAGCTAGTCCGGGTGGACTGTGCACCCTCCTTTCGGTTAACACAGACAGCATCATGGGTGCTCTGAAATGAAAACAAATATTTGCCAAATTTAGTCAAAAACATTATATATACGACCAACGTTTAATCACCTGAAAATTGTCTCGCGAACGACTCCATCGCCACCACGATGAGCACCAGCTCCACCGCTTCCAGGACGAAGAGAAAATTTATTCAGAACAACAGGATAACGAAGTTCCAATATCTCTGGGTCGGTGATCCTTGTGTTGGTCATGTGCGTATGTATTCCTCCTCTGCCGTCCCATGTTGGCCCCTTTGAAAATCATCTCTTAAAAAACAATTCTTTTATTGAGCGAAGAGGATGATTGAAGATATTGAATATATTACAGCTCCACTACCACCAGCGACAGTCTCATAGTATCCCCATTCCTCTGTACCAAGAGTGACATTATTCATGCACCCTTGCGATGCAGCACAAGCTCCGAAAGCTTGCAAAATAACATCCACGACTCGTTGGGACGTGAGAACGTTACCACCAACCACTGCAGCTTCTTCCGATGGATCTAACAGCGATCCTTTGGGTATGATTACCTTTACAGGCTTCAGACAACCCTGATGAAATGAATAAAATCATCGAATGATGAATTAATTGAAAATTTTGAATAATTAGTACTAAATGCAGACGATAATGATACCTGATTCAAAGGAACATCTCTACCAACGATGCACCTCAAGCAGTAAATCAATGCTGAAAAAGTGATAGCTCGAGGTGCGTTGCAATTACCCCAAACTTCGTACCCTGTGCCACTGAAATTTCAATTTTTCATTGAAATTATAGCTCTAATATATAAATTACACTTCTGTTTAAAAATGAGAGCTCACGTAAAATCACAGACTGCTTCACCCTTCTCAATATCAATGCTCAGAAGGAACTTAATCATACTTCCATCGTCTAGATAATCTATGGCGCTAGTAGCGGTACTTCCTGTTTCCTCCAACAGTTTCCGGCCAACAGACTTCAACATATCCCTGACGGCAACTTCGGCATTGTGCTGAATATGACCCATATACGCTTGAACCACTTCGAGTCCGTATATGTCGATCAATTCGTTGACCAGTAACGAACCCTGCGATGAAATTCATGAACAAACACAGTTTTTACACTCGTTTCTACGATACTTACTTTGTGATTAGCAGCAATTTGAGCTTTGAGGTCACTCAGGTTGTCGGATAGATTCCTAGTCCCTGAACTTCCTGGGATCTTCCCTGGTGCCATTAATTCTTCGGTCAGTTCCTTTTCCCGGAACACACCTTTGTGCACTAGTAGAAAACTTTTGAAAGCAGCACCTTCCTATAGATCATATTTATTCAAGATATCGTAGGAATTGAAGATTTCTATTGAATTATCGTACCTGAAGCAAGGTGGTCGAATGTGGTGGCATGGAACCAGGTGTGATGCCTCCGATGTCAGCGTGATGGCCCCTGCTGGCTACAAAGAACACTGGTTTCTCAACGTCCCTGCGCGAAAAGGATTATAAACTTTAATATTTTACCGAGTTTCAACTAGTAAAGAACCTCAACAAATAAATACTTGTAAAATACTGGAGTGATGACAGTGAGATCTGGAAGATGCGATCCACCCGCAGACGGATGATTCGCAAGGATCACGTCACCCTTTGTGAAACGACCCTTGAAAACCTTCATCTGAAACTGAACGGTCTCCTGCATAGCGCCCAAGTGCACCGGTATATGGGGTGCGTTGGAAACCAGACCACCATCAGGACCAAAGACAGCACAAGAGAAGTCCAGTCTCTCTTTGATGTTTGTAGAGATGGAGGTCCTCTGAAGGATCCTTTGAGAACAATATCCCAATTGATGAGTTCATCGATACTTTTATATTCATCTTATCGTTGTATCTACCTGCCCATTTGCTCGGCGATACTCATGAAACGGTGAGAGAAGATGCTGAGTTGAATGGTGTCCAGCTCGGTGGTGACCTCGGTCTTCGAACCTTGACCGATCGTTATCTTCACGTCACCACGAGGAGTGATCGATGCGGTGCAATCGGGTTCGACTAGAAGGGTGCTCAGGCTATCCATTATGATGGCTGGTCCAAGTATCGTGTGGCCAGGTGATAGAGTGTGCAACTGATACACTTTAGTTTCCAAGTAGCCGCTTTCGAAGTACACCATGGTAGTCTGTTTGTAGAAATTTAAAATGATGAGGACAGTTTGTCATTGCTCTATCATCCTTCGCTTACCTTTTCCACTTTCGGTGGCTCGTTCGAAGGAGGAAAAATCGAATCTTCTTCGATATCCGTCTTTCCCACACCTCTCACTCTTACGTCGTTCACCAGAATCTTTCTATTCGGCATTGTGAAACCGAATTCCGTCTGATACCTTTCTAAGAAAGTTGTGAGGAAATCTCCGTGTCTCGTGCCTTTGTTTCCGTTCGTCCTACTGGGTGTACACATCAGGGCGCAGTCTGTTCCTTGGTAACGCAGGTGCAAAAATGGTTCCGTGATTACGTGGGAGGCTGCGAAGCCTTCGATAGCTAATTTGTCTCTAACCTTCTTTTCTAAGACATCCAAGCGTTCGTCCAATCGCGCAAATGATTCTGAATGTAAAGAGGCAAAGATGCATAAGAATTCATAAGAAATTTTTGTTGATTGTAATTTGGGAAATGTTTTACTTGGCTCGTAGATTTCCGCACTAGGCTCCTGAGCTTCTTCCACGACGTCAGCTAGGGCCATTCCGTAGGCTGACAAAATTCCAGCGTATTTGTGAACGAAAACGGTACCCATTCCTAGAGAACGAGCAATGGCACACGCGTGTTGCCCTCCAGCACCCCCGAAACATGCCAAAACGTGACGAGATGTGTCGTACCCTTTCGCCTATATAAAGACAGCATATTTTTTCGAATGAATCGTTGCAATTATTTGAAAATTTATATAATACCTGTGTCAGAGCTCTTATTGGCCTGCACATGGTTTCATTAGCGACCCTGACGAAACCCATCGCAACTTCCTCGACCCTCATCTTACCTCTGTGACTCTCTTTCGCTAGAAATTCGTTGATCTATAAATTACAGCGAAATTTTTAATTGTATTTCGTATACTCAGTTATTTTTAAGTAAAGTAAATATTTGGTACTTGATCAGTGAGTGCTTGGAAGGCCTGCATCGTGCGTGACTTGTCCAATGGTTCATCTTCGTTCGGCCCGAATATTTTTGGGAAATACTCTGGTAGCAATCTTCCTAAAGCTAAGTTTGCATCGGTAACAGCCAGAGGACCATTTTTCTTGTAACACGCCGGTCCTGGGTGGGCTCCTGCGCTCTCAGGTCCAACCTCGAACAGACCCGACCTGAAGAAAAGCATCGATCCACCTCCTGCCGCAACTGTGTTCACGTCCAACTTCAACCGAATTTTGTGACGTTTAAAATCACTGAATAATCGATTTATTAACGCTTAAAGAATCGAATGGGTACTGATATTCGTTCGGACCAGGTGAACTCTCCATAGATTTCTCTACTTTTCCACGGGACAATGCATCGTTACTTTGAAAATTTAATACAATTGCAAAGTCGAAGTACCTGAGCAGCTTGGATCGTAACACCCGCAGTTGTGCTCTCATAGACGTGCTCGTAACTGCCACCGTAACGACTCACGTCGGTCGAAGTGCCGCCCATATCGAATCCAATCACAGGTAAATCGGTTTCTTTGTTGTAAGTGGTCATCGCGTATCCTACGACCCCGCCTGCGGGGCCAGAAAGAATAGCACGAGACCCGTTGAATCTATAAATAATTCAAAACTTTAGAGGAAAACTTTCTACTTTTTATTCCATGAATAATTCATCGAATGAATGAATGCACTCACGAGTGCATCGGAGTCAATCCACCGTCGCTCTGCATAAATAGCACATTCACACCTTTCAGTTTGTTTTTAAAGCCTGACGAGAAACCCTGAAAATGATCAAAACACATGAAACGAAATATATACGTGTCTATTTACTGTCGTCTATATGTACCTGTAAATACTGTTTAATATGTGGTGTTAAATATGCATCAGCGCAGGCTGTGAAGCCTCTGGGAACGATTCTTGTCATGGGCATAATTTCATGGGAAAGAGACACCTGGGAGAAACCAGCGAGTCTCGCTAATTCGCCTACTCTGGCTTCGTGTTCAGCAAACCTGAAATGAATTAAAAAACAAGTAAAGATCGACGATTAATCGATGGTAATCGTCATCATTAACGACGGACATGTAACTGTGCGCCAGGACCACTGCCAAACTTTCAATTCCTGATCGTTGCAGTTCCTCAAGATCTCTCTTCAATTTCTCTTCGTCCAATTCTTGGGTGACGAAGAGATCCTCGCCTGTGGAACCTTTTACCCTGCGCCAGATTTTGTTATCCAGGTGGCATTTACCGTGTAACGCAGGTATCACCCTGCTCCTAACTTCCACTACCTTCTTGTACAAAACTTCTGGCATGTCTACTTGCTGAAAAGGAATAACGTTTCAAATCTGAAGAATTTCCATGGAATAATACTGATTTTGTATACATACCAGATCGAATATATTCGGCCTCGCTTGGTTTCCTATGAAAAGAAGATCTCTGAATCCCTCGTTTATCAACAGTGCCATTTTTGCACCCTTTCTTTCCAGCAGAGCATTCGTTGCGACCGTGGTCCCCATCCGGATCCACGATATCAACGAAGTGTCTATTTCTCCCGCGATTTTCTGACCAGTCTCCTGAAATCCCTCCGGATTAATCATCGAATCGAATTCGTACCCACAAAATCATCGCTACCTGTTCAAGAATTCTTCGAATTCCCTCTCGTGGCGCGTCTTCATAGTTGGCTGGATCTACTGACAGTAGTTTCATCACTCGAATCTTGCCGCCCGGACATCTGGCGTACACGTCCGTAAATGTACCGCCGCGATCTATAGCAAACTGGAACTTCTTTTCGGCCATTTTTGCATCCGTCTAGTTTATCAAAGGCTCGTGCGATCTGTCCAGTGAAACACGCGAAACTGTTTCGTCAGAGACGCTAGAATCATTGAATTCGGTGTACGATAAGATCTGATAAGATCCCGAGTTGACAGAAGCTCAACAGTGTACACATAACAGAGAACAAAGTGGATGGAGGAATTTAATCTGTTTTTATTTTGCTAGTGGTCTCGCGAATATTATAGACGATCAAGCTCGACTATCTTTTAAATTCACTCACGATCTACTATAAATCAACGGCGCTCTTTCTCTGTTGCCTTTGAATGGTTCAGTTGTCGCTGCAACTGTTTTCGCGACTGAACAACACTGATAGGGAACACAGACGCAATAAGCTATATTGCTGGTGTTTTTCCATTTATTCGTCTTTTTTGTTGCGTAACACGGATGTGCATGAATCTTTCTCTTCATAGATTAGCTTAGAGGTTATACATGGAATAAAAAGGATCCAGCTAAAGTTTCACTTTGAAAAATCATTTATTTTTTAATTAGATTTCAATATCTTGTTTTTATTTTTATTTTCTTTTAGAGTAAGGTACCAGAAAAATTACTGCGTTAGTGGTTTCATGGGTAAAGCAATTGAATCGTGTAGAAGGTTGGATATGTTACTAACACGTCGCGTTGTTAACGACCAGGGTTACTGGACTCTGTTCGAGACTGCGCACCCATGATTTTTGCGATGGGTGGGCAGAAATCCGAGGTTCCCCTAGGGTACAAAGTCCAAGGCGAATTGATATTTCTTTTTCTCTTAACGAGAACGATTTATTAAACTATGACATGTCATTTCGTTTTACATACGCAAACGTTACATTACAGGGTCGAGGTCGTTCGTTCGCGCGCACCGTCGTCGTCTTCCTTCTTACAAAATAATTTACCAAAGTCTTGATCTCTAAGAATTCTGATGTTCTATATAATATCATATAAAATAAACCTACGATAGAGTTACAAATTTGACGTTTCAATTTCCTTTTGAGACTCGAACGTTTCTTGCGAAGATTTGTAAGAAAAAACAAAAAATACGTTGGCTAAATCTATACTCTAATCAAATGAGTATCAAGGATCGTGTAAAAATATCTATAAATGCATGGTTCCTCGTGAAAGCTTCGAGATTCGGGAAACATGCGAACACTTTTACAAAAGATTAAAAGCAGTCCGGTCGAATTCACTATTTTCTTTCGTCAATAAATAGAAATTTTACAACAGTTTTCGGAATCATACTTTCGTCGAGGCTTCTTGTTTAAAATACTCAGGTAGCAGTCTTTACAACTTAGCCTTCCCTTCGAGGATAGTGTTGTAAATTTGTTCCGTAAGTTTCACGTACTCTCCAGAACGATCCAAGAAGTAAACCGGATCAGTGATCTACGAATGAAATAGTAAAATAATTATTCAGTCACAAGAATAGAAAAAAAATTAGAATTACCTTGTTGATATTGAAACCATCGCGTTGAAGATCTTTCTTCTTCAACTTAAACGTGCCTGATTGAACAAAGAAACTTGATTATCAAATTTATGAGTGTCAAAAGTGCAAAATCATTAACTGATATCAAGATACTTGCCAGTCATCGGTAGTTCTGATAAAACTCGAACGAAAAGAGGCCTGGCGTATGATGGCAGAGCCTTTTTCACACCTTCTGCCATTTCTTTGATGTTCAGACTATAATCTGGGTCGTAAATAGCTGCCATTCCAGCCTTACCTTCGGCTCCAGGTACCTGTTGATGTTACCGAGTATCATAGAATATTTTGAGACCCAATTTCTAGCAAAATGCAATTAATTACCTCGACCCCATAAACGACTGCGTCTTTCAGACCAATCACATTGCTAACTACACCTTCGACTTCTGAAGTTGCTACGTTTTCTCCATGCCACCTATGAGGAATAATTATTACAAGCATATTTTAAAACTGTAGATAATTATTTACATTTACCTGAAGGTGTCACCAGTCCTGTCCTTGAAATAAAAGTACCCCATCTCGTCCATGACCAAAATATCACCTATATCAGAAGTTTTATATAACTCACAAATTTATCAAGATTAATAATCGACTGGCGATTATCAGAGAACTGATTAATATTTTTACTAACCAGAATTAAAAGCACGATCATCCTTCTTGAACACATCGCGAAGAATCTTTTGTTCAGAAGCTTTTGTATCTGCATATCCGGAAAAGTCATTGAGTACCCTCTTTGGATTGATTTTACCTACAAAGATACCTGATTCTCCTAACGAGAAAAAGAAAGATTTAATAAGGATTAAAATGTTGGAATACTGAGGAAGAATGAGAAATACTAACCAGGTTTACAACGTATGCAGAGACCATCTGGTCCCCTTAATGGTTCTCCAGTCTCCTCATCAACCCTTAATAATGCTACAGGGTACAATGAACCAGCAAACAGTGGAACAAATCCTACTGCTCCAATCTTGTTATCAATATTCACTGAAAACGATTTAAAATGATTTAGTTATCTTAAAATTGTGAAAATTTATATGGTCGTGAGTCATCAAGACTACGAATCTGTAGAGATAAATCGTTTGATTATTCATACTACCACCAGCGAGAATTATAGACGGTTATCTACTCACTAGAAAATTTGAGCAAGGATTATTTTAAAGCACACTTATAGATAAATTATACTCTGTTTATATATAGTCATAAATTTCCACGGAAACCAAAATTATTCATTAAAAATTACCAAGATTCGAGTTTCCTTCAGTGGCGCCATAAAATTCGCCGACTTGCTTCACGCCGAATCTTTCTATAAAAGGTTTCCAAATTTGGGGCCTAAGGCCGTTTCCAAACATCAGTCGAACCTTGTGCGTGGTATCACAGGGACCTGGAGGTACGGTGAGCAGATATCTACAGATTTCTCCGATATACTGTGCGACCTATAATTGAAACATTCTTTGCAATTAAATACGTAATCAATTGATGTACCGAGTCGTTACTGTCATTCATGATATCGAGCTTTGTTCTTGATGCTACGCGAAAGTGGATAAAGCAACTGCAAAGTTCAACTACGACCAGCTGGTGAATTCGAAATCAGCGATGATTGAGGAATAAAAATAACCTTACTGTGCATTCGTAATGGACGCAATCTGGCCAGAACTTTGAAGCACTAAATCGTCTACGAAGAACGACGGTGATACCCTTCAACAATGTTTGACCCACTCCGATCAGCCCACCAGCTGTGTGATAAAGCGGCAAAGAATTGTAAATCCTATCGGTTGATCGTAAACTGAGCATCGAGTTCACGCCACAAGACATTAACATATACCTGGAAAGATAAGTTTAAAATATAATTATTCCACCTCCTAAAATTTATTTCACCAAGGTGCAAAGTATGTAAATACCACTGAAGGCAGACTGAATAATTTAAAAAAAAAAAAAAAAAAGCAAGTAAATAATGATTCATCGAAAATGATTGTACTTTCCAAAATCAAAGTTCATATCTTCGCAGACTGTTTATCGAATTAATTACCGAAACGTATCGTTACATTATTCAATCAGAATAACTCGAACAGTTTTTGATTTTATGCTTAATTAAGGTGTCTGCCGCGGGTGGTGAGAGAAAAGGTGAGAAAATAGTACCTTAAATTAGTGATAACAGCAGCCTTCGGCATCCCAGTGGTACCCGAGGTGTAAATGTAAATCAATTTATCCCGGGGAGTACCTCGAGCAAGGTCGTACACGAGAGGGCTCGGATCGATGCTGGTGATTTCCGTTTTCAGATCGATCGCTCCTTCGAGACAAGGGGTGTCTGACAGATCCGACCACTGGTACAAAGCCACCTCTGGAATTTTCTCCCTAATTTCACGAATCACTGAACAAAAAGACGTATCGTTCTCATTGTTGTTTCGAGAAATTCGCAAGCGCGAAGAAAATACGTATTGAACGTGTCAGAAATTTAATGTAACGGAATAATTAAGAAAAGGATAATTCGAAGTAACATTAATATTACGTTAATTTCGTTGAATATGATGAAATAATTCATACTTTAGGAATATTAATCAATTTCTTGGTACGAGTATATAATGTAGCACTTAAAAAGAACAAACAAAAATTTTCTTAACTTACTGTCAATATTTGATATGCATATATGCAACTAAACGATAAAAACGCGTCTGCATCGACAAATATTGGAATCATTATTTTTAAGAGATTATTATTAAAAAATCTTGCATGAAAAAGAACTTACCTTCTTTGAACTCCGATCCAAAAATAACAGCCTTACAATTGGCTGCCTTGATGCTGTGCACTAAAACATCTCCACAAAGGTTCGTGTTCAAAAGTGCACCGACAAAGCCAGCTTTGCTAAGACCCAACCACGTTCCCACGTATTCTGGTCGACTTTCCATGATCAAACCAACGCTATCCCCGCGAGATAAGGATTTCTTGCGAAAATAACGTCCCAGTTGATTGCTGTATTCTTCTAGCTACGTACAAACGGAGAACAATTACATTACATTCCTGTAGAATTCTCGTTAACGCTTCGACTTATTTCAGCTCACCTTTCGATACGTCCATTCTTTGTCCTCGAAGATGAAAGCAATTTTATCAGGATTAGTGGTGGCGTGCCTCGTAAATATCTTTGCCACCGTGAACCCTCGTGTTTCCCACCACCATAGCAGAACATTAACACGGACGAACCTGTAGGCACCCCTGTTGCGGAAGAAAAACGACGCTTAATAATATTTTCTTAAGCTCCTTTGTTCACCGGCTGAAATTTCTCGCGACTTTCGTGGAAACAGAAATATCGAGAAATTAGAAACGATAACTTAGATAATCATTGGAGCATCGATTAGATTATGATTTCAGGGTTAATACAGAATTGTTCTACGCGACACATTTCTACGATGGGAAAGGGGTCAGTCGGAAAAGCATTGAATGAAACGATTAGTCGGGAAGCGAATCAGAGTACAGACGATAGAAACGGTCGCATGTTTTTTGGATCGTTGATAGGTATCTCTCTTGTCCCTACCACAATTCTAATGTAACATCCTTTCCTCTCTGGATCAATTGGTTAATATCGCGGCACGACACGCGCGTGACATGTGTCATTCGAACGCAACCTTTCTGCCATTACTCCTTCGACACCTGTTTCATTGCGCTTCCATTATCGTTAGATTTTCATATTATTAAAGCAAACGCGTTGATCTTAACGCAGCGAAAGAGTTAAAAATCACGTTATCTATTCGCTTTTAATCTTTAACTTACGTCTTAAGTCTATCATTGGGATAAGATCAATAAAAACAAGAATAAAGTTGAAAATATTTGTGTGCACTTTATTTCGATGTAAATGTAAGCAACGATAAAGGTCTTGAAGAAACAGAAGCGATACGTCCCCGGAAGATTACGCCTTTGTCGAAGCTGTCGTGTCGGGGCGAGTATACGACACCAGCGGTCAGCCCCTTCCAACGCTTCCACGGTGATTAAATGAAATCAAATAAAATAACGAAGCACGTTGCGTGCTAGGTATGAAGATAACTTAGAGGCCGCGGTGCATCACTCGCGGTTTCGTTGCCACACGTTAACCCTTGGGCTCAGGTTTGCATCTCCTACCTGAAGATAATCCTCCGTCCTTCTTTTAACCCTTTTGCTCGCGTATAAAGAATCGCGGAGTGTAAAAAACGAAAAAAATGAAAAATAATTGTGGTCTGCTAGGGAAACTGCACCAAGTACTGAATACTATTGGCACAGGGCAAATGAGACACAATTTCATCTTCGAGCGATGATAGACCAACGCTTAATGGAATATAAACGCTGGCATCCAACACTCGTTCGCGGACAAGGACGCGAGTTAAGCTTCGATGAGGGAATTTTGCAAACGATATTTTTTGCACGATTACACGTGTCCTGGATATCGATAACGCGATACCCACCCATCGGATTTGGCATTTGATATTCCAACAACCTGTTGCCATCGGGTTCGAATAAAGTTCCGACACTACTTTGCCGAATATACTCGATTTTGTAGTCAATTCTCATCGGTTCCCAGTTGTGGAGGAAGCAATTTTCATATAAATGGGAACCCGACTTTATTGAATTCCGCGAAAACCTTCTGTTTCTTTATTGGATCGGTGAAGGAAAAACGCGGACTCCCCCACCGGGATTTGAACCCGGGCCCTCAGGAGCGATAGGTCGAGAACACTATTCACCACGCTAATACCATCTGTCCCTATCCCTAATTTCACGATTCTTCTTACAGAGTCTGAAGGACTCTATTTCTCCGAAAACTATACAAATTACCGTGTCCAATTAGGTGTTCATTTCTTTTTCTTAATAAACGTTTACATTTTCAACCTTGCTCTGTTCATTTTTTACCGTTCAGAAGCAAAGCCACCTTTGTCCCAATTCTTGTCATACCCTATCTAATACCACAGGAAAAGAATCCTATCTGCTTTACAGTCCGGTTCGTGCCTCGACAAAGTCAAAGTCCACGCGTGAATGAGAACGTGCCGAGTAAAATTAAAGCTACACAAACTTATGTAACTGGTGTTCACGAACCGTACGAAACACCATGCACCGTTCCCAGCTCCGAAAAAAGAGAACGTGTTTGCACGGTACTCTGTTCGAGCACGATCAAAACAATGTCATTGAAGGAGCTGTTTAAATTCCATGCACTCCATATTGGCCCGACAATGGTCGTTCGCGTTGGTACAATGCACGGGTTGCATCCGCCGATGAATGTGTGCACTTTGATAGCTGCACGGACACATGCGTCTATGGAGAATACCGGCACGGTTTATCAATCAATGGCCAGTTCTGTGACTGTGATAAAATCAATGCCAAATGGCCTGAGTTCGTTCGTTGCGTTATTATGCAACCTGGACCAAACGCGATCCTTTTCGAAACGCATGCAGATTTCGATCGGCAGCGAACATGTTAATTGATCGCGTAGTTAATTTATGTAACGAAAAAATTGACATAATTTACATAGCAACACAGTAGCAAGACGCTAACGAGCTGAAGTGGAGAATATTTTAGTGAAAGGTGCACATAAAAGGTAGAAATAGAAAATTGAGCCTTAGGTATTAGCCAGCAACGAAGAGGTACTCCAAAATGACTTCCTGAAAAATTGGAAAGTGTAGCAGATAAGGAATTAGCAAGGACATAGCAAGGTGAAATTGTGCAACACTGTGAGTGTGTACTGTTATTGTTGTTATTGAAAAACTAAAAAACTGAATATTTCGCTTTTGTTTCGATAGTATATAGAATACAATGAAATATTCCAACATCGAATAGATCCGGTGCTGATAGCAAACATTAAAAAAAAGATACTTTCGCCCGCGTATTCTGTACCACGAAGTCGGTGAAAACAGAGAGAAAATGTTTGATTAGGTTCAAGTACGAAGCGTGAAAGAGCACGCGTGGGTGTACATTCAAGCGTAATCAAGAATATACGTTCGGTACAAAGTCAAATTGAGCCGTAATGCTTGAGATATTACGAATATTTGTTCAACTGTCGTTTTTTGTTTCCTCGATATTAGGATTAATGTTTCCACGATAGCACAACGAACACGTGGGTCCTGCCTCAATATTGGTAAACGTCAACGACGACGTTCGTTGAAATATTTTTATGAAAAATCCTGTACATTTCCATTAGCTTGATCAAATGAACACGCGAGGCTTGTAATTTTAATCAAAATATTGTCACATCTAAAACGTAAGGTAAATGTTGAATTAAAACATCGTCGTGTTTGTGTTAACCCTTTCGCTACGTAAGTAACATTTTAAAAACAACGAAAAAATGTATAAAATTATACAGAATGAACGTGTTTTAATTAAAATACATTGCAACGAAAGGGTTGAAGAAAAGAAAAAAAAAAAGTGTCTAGATCATTCTGTAATTTTCTGTTGATCGCAATACAAGAAGGAAACAGAGGAAATTTCTTAAAATACTCACAACACGTCTCTGGGCAATGTCTTGTAGAGCAAGTAAACGAAGCGTCGGCGGTTTCCTGTTAGCAGATAGGCGCCGACAATTACGGATAGACCCGCGATCACCACCTCGTGCAGTCCCATGACTTGGAGCGAACAGGACGCGCACTGATCGATTCGCCGGCGCCCGTTCGGTCTCGTCTACTACGAGCACGTTTCTAACGAGGATGATAGTCGTCTTGGTCGCGAGTAGTTCGCAAAGAAATAGAAGAATAAGAAGGGAAGGGAAAAATAGAAAAGAGGAGGAATACGCTCAGCGTGGTCAGGTGCTTCAAGTCGCGGGCGGACGACGACTAACCGAGCTAGCGGTGTGTGTACTCGCATATACGTATCGTGTAGCGAAACGTACAAGTGATCGTCATTGATAGTCATTGGCGTAGCATGTTAGAATGTGGAGGGGAAGTTTGTTAGCCGAGTTTCGCGACTGCATTCACTTTTGAACGGGACTTCGCTTACACGAGAACGCTTCGCGTCAAACATGCGTGTAGTAGTAAACATAAAATCTTAATCGATCGGTGATCACAATTTCGTAGATCTGATAGAGATAAAACTTAGCTTGCAAAAACGTGGATGCCTTATAAGACACGGTGATGAGATTAATTGCGTTATAGTAGGGACACGCGCGTACGCCGCGATGTTGTGCTCAATTTTTTAATCGATTAATGAGGTAAAAGCCGACGGCAAATACGAACAAAGGGTCCAAGGTGCAACGATACGCGTACAAAAGAGCAGAAAATTGTGTAAGATACACGAGGCTATGGATCAGAATTCTGCGGAAACCGCAAACGAGAGAGAGAGAGAATCCACCGAGGGAGAACGTGGTTCGGTACACATGAACGCGACTCGTCTTAAAAATAACAAGAATATGTATTTTATACAAACTTATATGATAATAATACACGTATACAGTTCATGAAAGACAGGTACAAATACAGAACGTACGCACGATATAACGATTGTGTTTCAGTCTGGACGGAGCCTCGGTCACGAATATTTCACAACGATGGATACTGAAAAAATAAAACGTCAATGATACGTTGACGTGTTCTGTAAATGATTTCGAACGTTAAAACATGAGGTTTTCAAAGCGATACGAGACGCGTGCAAATCGTACGAACAATGAGAAGCGTCGATAATGGAAAGAGCCTTGTTAAATCTCTAACACGATGCGTTAAATTTGACGGTAATTTCAAGGATAACCTACCTAGCCGATAAAGGTAAGAGAGAAGCCGGTGAGATGTGTACTGGGAACAGACTTAGAAGTGGAAAATTGATGAATACCTGGAATCGAACGTTTGAGGCTCGCTACACCGTGTGTTCGCTATCTGAGAACCAGGTAAAGCACCGTGATGTCCAGTACTGAAAAGGATACCCGTCGATCTGACTACGTGAGCTGTTTTTAAACGATCTCTGTGCGGTAGCTGAATGATTTGCAATGGCGAATTCAGTCAAAAAAGGCGAGAACAAGTGCTGGTGCACGTATGTTCAAGATAGATGAACACAAACGTTCGATGATTACTTTAAATCAGAAATGCGCGATCACATTTTGAAACGTCATTGCCATTTTCGTTACAATTTGCAAAGATAAAGGATTGCGCATTGCTGCTTTATATTTGAGGTGCGATAAGAAGGAAAATAACATGCAGTTTATCATGCACGTCAAATAAAGGCTTGCACAGACTGGTACCGTACCAATAATGCAGATTACCACCGTCACCGTGATAGCGACCAAGATTATTCTCGTCCTGAAATTCTGTAACCACGCCCTTTGCTGTGCTTTCTTCGCGGTTGATCTGAATTCGCTTCCGGCCATATTCAAACGATCACTAGCTTCCTGTAGATCCTCGAGCCTCTCGCCACGTTCCATTACTTTCTGCACGTTCTCGCGCATCGTTTCTGTCACCTCTTGGATTTGCAGTCGGACGCTTGAATCAGAAAATGTGCATCAAACATACTCGGCTTAAACATTTCGCAATAAACGAATATTTGCTGTCAACGAAACGATTGTTTGATAAAGAAGACATTAATGAAGTAAAGTACAAAAGCAAAAACAAGTATCACAAACATACACGAAAATCAAGGACACTTTACCTGTCCATCTTTCCATCCGCGCGTGTCTCCCCCGAGGACGTACTAGGTCGACTAGATACAGAAACATCATAAGTTAGAATACATCGAAGGATAATTAGGAAGTTAAATGAGAGTCGTTAGACTCACTTGAACACCATGTTTTCTTCTGTATCGCTCTCGTGCTCCAAAAGTGATTCCTGAAACAGTTTGAATCGAATTCAAAACTCCCGCCACTCGAAATCTCAGCGGACGCGTCAGCACTGATATGGCGCATGATGATTCCATACGGAATAACCACTAACCTTTTCATCGTTTGCCGCTGATTTAATGTCCTCCTTGGACAAATCCCACTTGCTGGACGTCGCCATGGTCTCGGTTGACCAAACCTGTTGCTTGTAATTCACCTAATTGGCCGATAATGACGTCGCGCGACGAGCAGTTCTCGCGAACGTGTCTCGAAAACGCTACTGGAACACTCGATGCGGAGCCATGTTGGAACGATCGTGCTGTTCCATCGACCCAAACTAGGTTCGGAACTGGTTTTAGAGTTACAGTCTTTGCGGCAGATGGCGTGGATCGTGTTGCTCGGTGCATTCCAAGCGCTATGCAACAGTTATGCACCGGGGTGCATTCGAAGACGGATGCAACAGTTTTGCACCGGGCTGCACGTGGGCTCTTCCTTTGCGAACTGTTTTGAAGGAAGTCGTTTCTGATGATTGTTTTATTCCTTCAATATAGATGTTTATCGATAAAAAAAAATTTGTACTTAGTATATTTCCAATGATAAAGGGGTAAATGGAGTGAAACAGAGGGGGTATGTTTGGCATATTGCTTTTATTTCGACATAAACACCAAATGTCTAAATTCTACTACAGATTTCGAGGTACAACACGATAGTTAACAAAATAAGTTGATTGTCGTATGAACGTGCGAGAGGGGACACTTCGAAGAAGAAATCTCGAAACGAGAGAAATATCTAATCGAACAAATGTTAGACAATAGGATTTTCAAACTTTCGCTACCATTATACGCGTTCGTATTGAACGTCAAAAGAATGAGAATCTTTTGTTCGATGGAATGAAAGAAGGAGAAAAAATAATGTTCACCCCCTGCACGGTTTCTCTCGCGTACGAAGCGGAATTGTTCCTTATACAGTAGAAAAACGTCAATCGTGTGAATGACAGGTTGTGATAAAACGTGTCGGACGAACTTGTATTTATATAAAAATAGACCAGCCTTTCGTTTTATTCGTAACTTCGAGGTATGCAGTTTCCACAACTTCGTAAGACAAACAACGCGTTTGAGAAATGATTTTTTTTTCCCGTTCTATTATCGGCGTTCACGATGCCTCGAAAATAATCATTCGGTCTTATTGGTTCATTCGAATGTTCCTTTAGAAACGAACGACAACTATAGTCTTCTAACGCGTGTGATTACGATTAAATATGAACAACCCATTCTTTCTACTGTTTTATAAGCCTTTGCTCGATATGTGAAGCGCTTATCTAACTGAACAGACGCGCGTGTTGTTTCAGCGATCGTTATCGTTATCGATAATCTCTTGGCCTCGTTGAAAACAACGTTGATAATAATGATATAATAGGTCTACGTGCACATATACTGACGGAGAGATCGTACCTCTCGTCTTGTACGTTTTTAGGCCGTCCCTACTCGATTGCATTATGTGTATTCTGTATTCTTCCACGATACCCATTTATCCGCGGCCACGAAAATCAATCAAGGATCTTCGAAACGTGGAAGGCAAATTATAAAACGAGGTTTGATTCGTTAAAATTTGGAGTAAATAAAAAAAAAACGAAATAATGATTATAATTTATTTTCTAGTCGTGAAAATTTAGTCATACGGATAAATATCTCTAGAATGACCCAGACGTGTGAAACGTTTCGTTCCATACAGAATTGCTTAATGGCTAGATTACATTATACATTTACACGCGATATTGGATCGTTTATGCGTCGTACGAAGCGATAGGACGTCCAGCGTCGTTTCAACCGGACGAAACCAGCGTCCAGCTGGTTCATTCGTTAGCTCGATTTTCAAAGCGATATGTAACACGTCATACGTTAGCGAGAAAGTGACTTCGTTGAAGGAATGATCGTTCGAATTACTGCTCGGTCATTTAGTTGAATTAATTAATCCGTCGACAGACGAACCACCGCTCGATGCTCGAATAGGAAACGCTTTGAAAATCGAGCCAGCCAAATGAACGATCGAACTTGGCGCGAGCTTTCGCCTTGACACGAATCGATTTTTTCTGGAAGTGAACGGTAGACCATTATTCTCTCGATTAATTCGAGCCCTTTAATTGAGACTACTGTATCGCGTAGACACAATTATCGGAAAATTTCTCCTTTATTCTTTAGTCTTTGTCTTTTTCATTGTCCGGCTACACGAGTGCACGCGTTGCACGTAAAATGCACTATTCTCAATAATTTAATCAATTAAACAACACTGAGTCGTAGAAAATGAAACAGTAAATTATATCACTTTGGAATTTTATAAATTGAAAGATACGATGCAATATTTTGTACTAAATGCTTTTAGAGCCACTCTCTGTATAAATGAGTTTGTATTGCAACACGAGAGGCGAGAGACACGTGTTGCTCATTAGATCCCAATAAATAATCGAATCGTGGACGAACCAGCCGCCAAATTTTCCCGTACCGTCGTTCGTACTGTGATCAATTCGTCCTCGATTCTAATTTCGAGGTCTGGCGAGCATCGAATTCGAAGTACAACGCATACCGGTCCGGAATCAATTCCTCCGAGGAATTTCTCACTGATTTCCGGTTGGTATACGTGGCCGTGAAAAATTGCCTGAACCTTGTGTTCGTGGAGAAGCAATTTCGGCCGCCTCGAGTCGAGTCATCAGGAAAGAGAAGATTTATTTCTTCAGAATTTTATGCCTTCCAAGGGGAGGAAATTTTCAGAAATAATGAAATCACGATCTCCTTTCGAACTAGTTGAACCATAAACGTGTCGAGGTTTCTGCGTGTCATTCTGTTTTCTTCGATTGTGAGCGGATATTTACTTACCAGTGGCAGCGGTACGGAAGGTAGAGCAAATATTATTCGAAGGACAGGGTGTGATTGGAAGGGTAAAAGTTACCCTGTTTGCGCATCTATCCTCTTTCTGGGACACGCTGAAACACGCGTAGGCTTTAATTCGTTACGCGAGTGGAAAGAATAATGAAAAATCAATGAAAAATATACCACAATGATCGCGTCAAAATGCACCTATCCTCGCTTTTTTATTTCCCGGAAAAATCCGTATACGTTGCGAATAACTATTTTTCCACGTTGTTCCGATCGTAACTGAAAGCATTAAACTTCCAACGATTTCAATAAAAGTTTCTCTAATTGAAAAGCGTAATCATAAAGCGAGATACTGAAATTGCTTTCCCGCTTGCTACGAACTAAAATGTTCGATAACGATTCTTTAAAGAATAAAAAATTATAATTGATCGCTACATCGCGAGGCAATCAGTGAATTTAGGTCGGCAGACAACGTGTTAACAAGCTCGCTACCAGTGCTCGTTTGGAAGACCGCCCATCACATACCATACTGCATCTTCAGTAATTTGATGCGATACTGCACCCAGTACATTTTACATGATGTCTTATCCATGCGACAGTTTTTAATCCTTTTAATAAAAAAAAAATTAAATATAACGACAAAAAAAGGGATATAAAGTTGCTCGAAAACAAAATCACAGTATCTTTAGAGCACATGAAGATTCTCACAACTCTTGCTTTTACTGTCGTTCAAACACATTCTGTTCAGTATTTCTCTGGTCAGATTTAAGCTGAGAGCTGTCTTGCTTCCGTGTAATTTCGACAGAAACTTCCCCTTGCTACCCTGACGTTTCAGCTTCTTGTCACGGGTCTCTCGAAGCCGTATCTGTTTTAGAACGCCCACCAGAAGCTCGTCCACGTTGTGTTGTATCCCACTGGACGTTTCGATGAACTTGCACTCCCTCGATGTAGCTAGCTGCTTGCCCTCTTTGAAAGGATACGGAATTCAACTTCTTTTCAAAGACTCTTTACTGAATTCCAACGTACGCTTGCACTTGGTGTTTTTATATCGTTGGAAATTTAATTTCCGTAAGGGGTTTAGAGGTTCTTTTTTTAGATTTTAATTCGTTTCGAAATTAAAAAGAAGCTTACCGTTTGTCGAGATGGTGCGACTTCTAGCCAGGTCAGACTTATTTCCCACTACGATCACTGATCGTTCTCGAGTGTAATTCTCTCTCCAGAGGTAATTCAGTATTTCCTCAGCTACCTGGAAGCTGGCACGAGACACGATGGAGTAAACGACGATGCAGGAATGAGGCTCGTACGTGGACAAAGAATTTTCCACCTACACAATAAATTGACAAAAGTCTTTACTGAATATTTTTTCCAAGTAATTACTTCCTAATTGCATCCAATTCAATGGTAATTATCAACGATGGATTCAAAGGAAATCTCTAAAGTTCTTTCTTCGATTGTTTTCCATTCAGTCTACTTTCAGAGAACCATGGTAATTTTATACTTTGTAACCTTTCCGTGTAACAATTGAGCCCGCAATTGCAACGGATAGCGAATTTATATAATTTCAAACGAAAATTGTAAATCGAGTGTGGGCGTGGTTATTTAAAACGGAAACACAGCACTTACGCTCATTTCTACACACGGATGATCGATGAACACCATCTCCGACTCTTCACCATCCAATAAAATTGAGACCGTCTTCTCACCGAACTCGTCGTCTATAAAATAACGTGAAGATGTAAGGTGAATTCGCGTAGAAAGCACGAACCGGAAACAAGAGCTTTAGTTTCCCATCCGGTGGTTTCACCGAGCAAAGTTCGAGTATGTTTTCCGTTGCTCGATGAAACTAAACGCTTCTGACGGAACGTGATATGTACTAGAGAAACCGAACATCCGCTCTTATTCTTCTTCACACTCGTACAGCGAATTAATCCATGAAAAAACTTCTACAAAGTTTATGTTGAGAAATGTTTGTAGACGTATGACAAAAGAAGTTAGAAGATGATAAACGTGGTAACGAATTGGAAATGGAAACTATTAAAAATTGGGCACCTTGTTTTGATAGAAATCTTAACGTCCATGGAATATTCTAAAAGTGAAAGAAAGTAGATCTTATGAAATAATAATAATAATTAATAGGATACCATTTTCTGATTCACTATACGTTCATTGGATTCGATCGCGTTCTCAGCAATAGCAACAGCTTGTGATAACATTCCGAGTCGAAGCAACAATATTGTTCCATTCTCGTTAAATATGGAACTGCGGATCTCATCGTCGTTAAACGGACGATTATGCGAGACAGAAACGAGGGAAGTAAATGAATACCATAATCACTTCTGCCAAGCGTAGAACAATAATTGTCGTGTAATAAGCGCGACTGCTTCGACAAGTGGCTACACCCGAGGCAATCAACCGCGTTAACGATCAGCACTGACCGAGCTACACGAAACCAGCATTATAGTTGGCCATGGGAATCGAGCAAGAACCAAGGGTGGTCCATTGCAAGAAAGAAATCTTGAGAAGCTGTTTTTCCTTGGAAAATACAAGCACAACATCGTTTCTTTCTTCATTTCACTTTACTTGAAATATTTTAATTGAAAAATTTTAGCAACTGCAACAGCCTCCGTGATCCTCAGAAGCGATAAGAACAACACGGTTATCGTGTGGTCGACGAAAATATAACGTCATGCTAAATGAAAAAACATAAAAGCTCCTTGAAGAGTAGTTAACTGGTTTCTCGAGGTAACGCCTACGACGTCGATGATTTTCGAGGTCCAACAGCGTGATTACACGTGGAAGGGTGGCCGTGTGCTGGTAGCTTAACGAGCTACGCTATTAATCGAACCGGTCGTTAATCTCTCCTTTGAAAATGTTCGCCGACCGTAGGAACGTTGCACTTGCGCGTTTACAAAAATAGTTAGAAAAGTCTCGAGTGGTAAAAGGCGTGATTTCTAAAGATAGTAATTAAAAATGATTTAACGATTTTGTATTCCATGACGTACAAAGTACAATTTCAAAGATTGTTCGGTGAAATAATTAGTACTTTTCCAAGAATTCCATGGCAATCTGAGCCTTTACAAGTTGGAACAAATTCCCATTTCAAACGGCATTCAAAGTGAATAGCTCATTACTAGCTGTGTTACGTATAGAATTTATGAAAAGTGGTCTGGTAATCGCGAATATTTCGAGAAGGAACGGAGGAAATACCGTTTGTTCGTAACTTTTGCTGTGATTTCACGCGTACGTTTATAATTAACATTGCGCGCCTTACTTCTCGTCGACCCGTGTTTCACCCAGATTTCTCCGCCTTCTTGAGCTTTTCAAATCAAGCTACAAACGACTAGAATACAAAGAAGAACAGGCTCAGGTTTTCGCTTCAAGTAAAAGGTTCGTTTAAACGTGAAAATATTCATCTAACGTTGTACAAATTCTGTTCGCTTAAAGTACGGTGCTCGAATTCACTTCTCCGACTATTCTGGGGAAAAGAAACTGTAAATAAGACCACCTAATATTTAATATTTGCACTGTAGCTCGTTCTCTTTAGGCAAAAGAAAATTATGAAAAATCATTAAGGTGCTGTTTCAAATTCTTTGATTATTGAAGACGTTAATTTCAAAAATGATGCAACTAGGAATATCGTGAAACTAACGAAACATTTGTGGAGAGAAGGAATTGAAATAAATCTCCTGGGGCAGTTTCTTTTGTAATTTTGTTTGGAACGTGACGTAAATGCAAAAACGAAGCTCATGCTCCGACGAACCAGTCACAGTTCGTGAATCTGCAAAACAGTGCTTCAAAGCGTGGAAACGCAACACAAAATCGTAAAGGAATAAAACGACAATAAAACCATCGAGCTGAAAAGTCCTTTACAACCACTGTACGGTGATAACAAAGTAAAACTTTGAAACGATTGTCGAGAAAATAGTGAAGATGAAACAATTGAATTTTTTCAGAAATTTTTATCCCTCAAGATACTCCTGTCAAGAAAATCAAAGGGAGATCATACTTTAAGGTGTCTCCAGGAATATTTTTATAAATTTTCAGGCCACATGAAACGAGAGCCTTGTTATCGCACTTTAAACTTATGTTCAAAAAAGAATATGAATCCAACCGTTACCTAAGCTGGCGTCATAGGTGTTCATGTATTCACTGGTCATGAACTGCGAAACTAGGGCAGTTTTTCCAACTCCAGAATCCCCGAGCAACACGACTCTGTACTTCGAAATCCCTTCCATATCGTCGCTTTCCGTACTGTCAGCTCCAACACCCTGGCCACTGCAACAGGAACCCTCGAACGGCGATCTTTCGCCCGAGACATTGCTGTTTCTGCAATCAAAAATCATATTCGAATGTACATCATGAACCTCTTGAAATGTGAATCATACAAGGTCGGTGTTTCTTTTCCACGCGTTCCTTCCACAGGAATTATTTTTAATATTTCCTCTCGGTACTAGTGTCGTTTGCGAAACGGGGTCGTATTTCCATTTTAATCACCTCACAGGAGAACATCGAGATAGCCACGAAAATAAAATTCACGAGATCGAGCAATTTCTCGTCCTTTCTACCTGTATTTATTTTACATCGCTGCCTCTATCCAGTCGATGGCAATTCCGATGGAAAATTCTAATGAACTCCCGTCAACAAAGTCTTCTGTTCGCTAGGACGCTGTCGAAAATCACAGCGTTTGCATCGAATCAGCTTAAACGCGATTGAAATCGTTTCTTCGAGCCATTTACGTTCGAATAAGAAATCGAATCGCTAGGGTCCATGGTTAATGGTCCAAAAGCATCTGCCATCGAATCTTAGAGAAGATCTCGTGTCATTCAGGAGATCACCTCCCTCGATGATTGAATTTCCTTCAACGCTATGCAATCAACAGGAACGTTACACGATACATTACGCAAATCCGGACAATTTTTTCAGACTAAGTCGTCGAGAATCTCGATTATCCTCTAACGGAATTAATGAAACGTGGGAGAAGAGTGAACGAAATTGAAATTGTTTCGGTGTACCAAAAATTCGGAAATACTGTGTTATATATCAAGGTTGGATGACTACACGTTTTAAGACAAATGGTTTTTCGTAAGAACGCTTTTTTACAAACTCCACCCTTGGTCACGAAGGGTTGATTACCTAAAAATCTAAGACCTTCACTCGTGATTTTGCTAGGGTAACTTTAGTCTTCAGTACGTTTCGTCTCGAGAATTTTTCTTGTTCATCGAACATCGACACCGACACCAATCGCATCTTGCTAGAAAAGTCTTATCGATCGCTTGTGGCTACCCTAATCGAATTTACGTGCATGATGTTGAACACGAGGGAATACCTGTGGAGAAAACACAGAGACACAGGATTAGCGTGGGTCTGGTGAAAAAGCGTAAGCTGCTAGCTGCTTCGATGCGAAACACGAACCAGACGATGGAACTCTGTAAGACGTTCCATCGAATAATCGATAAAATTACTAGTACTTTCGTTTATTAAAAAATGAAAATAGTGTTGAACGCTGTCGCGAAGACAAAGAGGAAGACATACAGTATAGTTATTCACTTTGTTATGAAGAAATTGAGAAACAGTTATTGTTTGAAGTAATGATGAATAATTACAATTTACTTCGTTCAAAATTTCATAGCAGTTTCCCAAAGTGAAGTTTTATAGTGCTCGTTAATTCGATCATCGAAAGTGATTTCACAGGATGCGATCTTAAAAACTTTTCCATCAGTACTTGACTCGCTTTTCACAATCTAGATGGAACTTGGACTTTCGTCCCTCTATCTCAAGAGGAACTTATTGTTAGATTTTTGGCCATTAGTGCCATTAGGTACATAGAATTTGGACTTGGAAACTTTTTCCTCGGTATTTTCAACTTTCCTGGTACTATGCTCCCCTATATGTAATATCAAGAATCCGTCCAGAAGGTCCGGCGACGCACGGTACTTAGATTCTAATCTCTCTTTACCTGGAGAATTATTCTCAGTTAAAAAAAGTATAAGTATAATCGCCGATTTATTTATAATTTATTTTGCATAATTTTCATAAAACGTTTCATTTTCCTCGACTCATAATAGGAATGCTTTGCGTTCTGGCCAAGAACAATGCTTTTTGCATTCCTCCGGCTTGGCACATGTGTAACCGAAGCACAAAGATGGCGCTGAAGGTGCAGAGTTATATATAAACGAGGGGATCTCGGTAAGAAAACGAAAAACCGGTGCAAATATTTACACCGTCTATTTGGAGAGGCGACGGAATGCATCGACCAGCTTGCTGATCTTCCAACGATACAACCTAATAATTCGGGTAATAAGCTGGGTATCCTGCTGGCGATGAAACAGCTGTACTTCTTTTCCAATCCTCAGAAACCATGTTTCTTATTGTTCTTCACAATAGAGATCGTATTTCCTAACAATCGAGCTTTTGACCACAAAAGAAAATAATCTAATCTTTTCCAAGTCACGAATTCTTTATCGATCTTCACCCGACACCCTTTTCCCAGCAATAATACATATTACTTTAGGAAATACCGCCATCGCGAAACATTAAAGCTTCTTTTCAATATTCGAAAACTGTTCATTGTATATATTTTATGCAACGAATGTCTATCGATGTTGAAAAGTACTGGAGAATAGTAAATCTATCGGTGCTGGTTCCTTGCATGAAACTTATTCCTCTTTCAGCATCGAATATTTCGTAAAGAGAGCTTATACGTTCGCGTTTCTTAGCTGGCTTCTTCAGAAAAGTATCCTTAAGTTTCTATGCCAAGCTCTCTTCACTCGAATTCTCTTTTGATTCATCCCTCAACTTCTTCGAAGGGTAACTTGCTGTTCTGGTATTCCAGGCATCGTTCAATTTTTCGTCTTGATCATCGAATGATTTTTACAACAGACTTTTATTATAGAGCGTAAATCCAGGATCGGATGTTCGTAAAAAAATTGATACATAAGAGACGTAAACCTGTGAAAATCTTTCACGAGACCCAGGAAACGGATCTCCCTACGTGAAACTTACTTTACTGAACTCGTTTCCTGTAGAATCACTTTCGGTGAGCGGAATAACGACCACCATAAAACAAGCAGGGATCTATTTTGAGAAACCACCATGAAGTTTCGAAAGAAGCTACGAGTAAATTCTATGAACGGTACGAAGAAAAATTATCTTGAATGATCAGCTGATTTCGTCGCATAATAATAGCGCAGTCGTAGTCATTTTGTTATAACAAATAAAAATAAAAGTAATATTTCTCGTCGACGAATCTGTTTGGCAATGTTCTAGCGTACGAACGTCACGGTGATAATTAAAGATTCCCGTCAAAATTTTTGGTAAATTAATTGGGATAAATTCGACAGTTGGCTGACAATTACCTCCTGAATATTTATCGTCTCCGAATCCGACACTTCACGTTGGATCATGTCCATCGACGAAAATCAAATTCACGGTTACGTTTGTGACTCATAGATTATTATTCACAAATAGTCACGCTATGGAAAAGCTACTCGAAGATCGAAAGTGACTCACACGTTCGGTCCGGAAAATCAGCCTTTAAATTTAGTGAACTCATGCGTTGAAACCCACCTGTTTTCTCAGCGTAATGTAAGAAAAACACAAAGAACTCTGGCAAAGATTCAGCTGTGAATAGTCGCATGCAGCGAGCTTTTGAAACCAGACAATGATTATCGAAAACAAAAGGAACATAAACATTTGGAATCATCTTGCTCTTTCTCATCAAAAGAAAATGCAATACATTTATTTTAATTTTTGAACATCAACAAAGGGTTGTGTGATTGGAAGACTTAGAAAAAATAAAATATATATCTAAAGAAGGATGTTGAATTTGCGTCTATCTAAAGATGTTTCATCAACGCTACCCACTTTCTCGTGCTTTGCGTTTCATTTAGTTGTAACTAACAAACGTCGCTCCTAATTACTCGGCAGATGAGCTCTTTGCGTGGAGCTTCTCTCTTGGGACTTCTTCCCATTGAACTCCATTTACTTGTGAATCATCCTTTCGTGTCAGGAACGTCTTCAAGACGAGCAAGTAAAATAACATTATCGGAACAATATTATCCTTGCCATTTCCGTGAGAAAAAATAATCCCACGTGTTGCTTTTGTGGCTATCTTATGAAATTGAAGTGTAACATGGCATCCAACTCTTCCGCCTTTGTAAAACTCCATTATATTTCTTAATAGAGAAAATTTTCGTATAAAGGAACGTTCGCATAGCAGAATTATTAGTCGACCATTCTAACTATTTTGCTATTTAGGTCATCGACGAATATTCTCTCCCATAAAGTTAAGCTCGAAATGGCTGTCTCGTATAATCCTGAATCTACGATGATACACTGCGTGGGACGGATATACACCTCTAGAATATTCAAAGAATTAACTAAGAGGATGAGTCGAAGTTGTAAGAAGAGTAGTGACTAACCTAGACCCGATAATGCTGAAGGAGGGAAGAAAAAGTAAGCGTCTGGACGGAACGAAACGACGACGCGTCACGTCGTTGTCGGAAGAACATTGACTCACCGTCGGGACGCATGCACGGCGAGCCATTCGAAATTCCACGAATATTCTTCGTCGTCTCGTAAAGCCGCCAAACACGACATACATTCTCGCCCTCTTGTACCCCTGATCTGTGCAACGTTCACCACGTGATCACCAAATTTCCACTTCCCCCGTCCAACGACGGGTTTAGAATAACCGAAAGCTCCGTGGTTCGACCCATTCGTGAGTTCGAACTCGAGTTGTTCGCGTCTACTTCCTTTCTTTATCTTCCTGCCACCCTTGGGAACCGGAACATTCGTTCGATAATGGAGGTCGCTAAAGGTGCGTGTAACAAATTCAATTCGTCCCACTGCCCACTGTCTTTCTAACTCGATTTCTCCTACTGCTTTCCAATATTAGATTTCAATTTGAAAATCGAGTATTTCAATTAGAATATCCGATTGCTAATTTCTTAAGTAGTTTCCGGGATCTTGAAATTGAAATTGGGGTGGATTCAGCGTATAGGATAGATTTGTTTGGAAAAATGGGGTTTGATAAGTAATTAATACAAAAACAACTGATGTTGGATGGACACCAACTTTCTAGTTAATATTTATATTATATTTCCTGGGGAGGTGCCTGATGAGTTCCAAAAATATTAACAAGTATATTCAAGATACCTATATGAGCCGATATTGCTGCATCGTCAAATCTACCATGAAACTGTCAATTACTCTCGAGCAATTAAACAAGATCTGTCTTCAATTTACAGCAAACGAAAGTGCCGACAGTCTGGTCGAGCAGTCTATGAACGTCACGGCAGAATCGAAATCAGTTTCAACCATGAAATCGGTGCAAAGCGTGCAGACGAAATCGGTGATCGAGTCGTCTACTTCGATCAAATCCGTCTCTTCCTCGTCGACCAGGTCACAGCAGAGCATGGAGTACGAGGAGACGGTCGAATACAGCGATTAGAAGAAACGTCATTCATAAAAATTAAAAAAAAAAAAGCAAACCCTTTCGAAGTCGTGCCACGTGGAGGAGACTGGACGCGGTATTTTTGACTCGACTTCGGCTCGGAAGCTCCGGAAGTGCTGTTCCCCAATCTGTTCAAGGAACTCCAGTGGACGAGTTGGGACATTTTGAGAAACTCGTCAGGATTCGAAGGAAAATTCGCATCGAAGAAGGAGAATCTCTCGAGTTCCGAGTTTCGATTTGGATGGTGACAAGAAAAACGTGCTGTTGCTACGAAATGAACGTTTGCCAGACGACGAAAGAAGCAGGAGTATACTTGAGAATGGAAGAAGTAAAAGGAAGACAGAATCGAGTGGAGTCGAGTCGAACGACCGATCGACAGGTCAAGGCATCCGCAACGATATTGAGCTACGTTACAGAAATAGCCAGGGTGTTCTGAGATGCGTGATAATGAAAAGAAAGAAAAAGAAGGAAAGGAAGGAACGTTTGGAAGCCTCGTCCACGAGCTGGCTCTCCTCCAATCATCGTGGTTCATTGCCAAATACTCGCCCCTTCCGTTTCTTCCCAGGATCCTCTTAGGTCTGTTCGATCTTCCTTTTGAATAAGCAAGCCTCTCCATCATCGTCACTTTACGAGACCGCGTTTCGTTGCGAACGTTCGGTTATCTTTGTACAATAAACTTTCTAAGATATTGTTCTCTTGTGTATTTCAATCTCTCGACGTCCCTTTATTCTCTTTCCTCCTGATAATTGAAAGAGATCAGGTAAAGTTTTGGAATATATAAAATCCATTCGTTTTGGTTTCGTAGGTCTGGATCAACGATTGACCCTGCAACCACCCTTCAGTTTTCAACACGGGGCTTGTTTTATAACACCGGTGTAATTTTCGTATTACCCTTAACCTTTCCTTTCTCACCGATCAGCCGCGAAGTTCGAGAAAGAAATATCAGCGTTATTTGCCGTCAGAGAGGACCGATAATTCAACTTACAGGTACACAGAACAGAGGGTTGAGTATGGATTCGATGGGGTTTTCGAGATCCAATTAGCTGACGTCGAACGAAAACCGTGAAAAGCTAAGCAAAGTGACGAACCTTCCCCCATTTACGATCGACTAATCTTCCAGCCTCGATAAGAACGTCTTTGAATCGATAGAAAAGTTGAACACGGTGCTCGATTGAAGTAAGATTGAGATTTAAGGGATTAAATTGCCATTGATAGGTACTCCAAGTTTTATTTAAGAAAATAATTGCGGAATGATAGAAAAGAAAATTTTTGATCTACTCCTTAATGTCTGACTAATCATAGCTGTTTCTACTGTGGAAGTGTAAACCGTTCTTTTTGGAACCAAAGATTCTTTTTATTTCTTTTAAACCAGCAACTTAGACTGATCCATTCTCCAAAGTGAACAGGTACCTATCTTACGTAAATTAACCCGAACATCCTGACGAAGAACGAACGTTTATTAAACGAAGGTGAATAGAAGGGTCCGGAAGTTGTGGTAGAAACGACTCACCTTCGGACGATATGGAGATTTATAAACGTAATTTCGCCAGGATGGTGTACACGGATAAATCTTGTTTAACCCCTTGAGTGGAAATTACTTCGACCTACCGAGTGAATTTTCTCAGCCGATATATTTCAAGTATTTGTGCGCTATATTTGGAAGTGGTTCCTGAAAGCAATTACAAACTGATTTATCAGAGAGAATGCCTCGAACGGCTTGCTTGAAAATTAATTGCAATGCAGAGGGTTCGAGAACAGCTCCTGAAAAGTTGTCAATATTCGTCCTGAAGAATAGCTGAAGCGGTGTATTTCTGGTAGAAATTTTCTACGCTGTTCTGTGTTATGGGAACAATTGTAAAAAAAGATAAAAGGTAATTCTCCAAAGTGTGTACAGAAACACTAAACGAGGGATGAGCCAAGACGAAATTCAGTGTCGTCTGACGAAATTAAGTGACACTCTCCGGGGAACCACTAGGACATGCGGTAAGCGTCGCTGAAAGTTTTACAGCCCGTCAACTTTCGAGGGTCCTCGTTTACGGCTTACAGTTTCCCGAAAGCTGCCGGCTAAACCGACGACTTTCAAGCCGAGGGGAAGTTTCAATATCTTCGCCGAAGAGATACGCTTAGGGCGACGTCAATTTGCGGGGAAAACGTAGTTCCGCGGAAAATCCGTAATTAATACTTGACAATCAGGCAGTTGGCAACTCGTAGCCCGACAGCTGGGGAATTAATCATCGACGAGAATTAATAATCGGAAAATAGAAATTGGATACTTCTCAGACTAAATTTAATCTCGTCTTGTTGCAACCTAATTGGTATGCACATTGATTTCTTCCAACAAATTAAAAAATTTCAGAATATATTCCGTTTCGGCCATCTCATTCTTTACCCACGAAATTACTTATCCCTTTGAAATCAAACCTGCAGAAGTTTTCGTTAATTACCATGAACACGAGAGAACACGTTCCATCACTCACAGTTTTTCGGCCTTCTGGTCGATCACGATTCTTTATCGGTCCATCGAAACGAAATTTCGAGTAATTTCTCTTCTCTTATCACGAACGAATTAAATTCCCAGGGATTGTCATAAATTTCTATCGTGAAAATCAGTTTCCATGGACAAAGAGCAAACATTGTTCCCATGGGTATAAACGATCCCTCTCTGTCAGAAAAAGAAAAACTTATGGTCTCTTGTAACGAGAATAAAAAATAATCAAACAATATTTGCGAGACTTTTTGCTTCTAATTCTTTAATTGATAACATGAGAAGTTCATATTTTAACTTTATTATCAGAACAATGGTACAGAAATTTGAAGTTAAAGGTTGCTTCGATAAATGAGAGGCAAGACTTGGTGTGATCGATGAATGTCGCGCATTTTGCTCGTCATTGTTCTCGTTCTAGGTCGAATCCAATGCGATTCAATGGAATATGGTGGAAGAATACTAATCCTGAAAATAAGAGGAGCGTGATCGGGCCGGCGTTCGTGGAACGCGTTCGATTATCGATTTTGAAATTCCCAATTTCTGGGTCGATGCATTTTCACGGAATAACGTTGAAACACGTACTCGCAGCTTTTTCAAATTCTTTCAGGTTGAATTTCGAAAATACTTCACGTACTACAATGTCTTCTAAATTTTTTATTTCTTTCGTTTTACCAGTTTCGATATATTTTAAAAAAATTTAACTTTCAAGATGTTCTTTAGGATTCTTGATTAGTTACCTGCTACTATTGACGGAAGTGTTGCTTCTGCTGCGTCTTGAAATGATCGAATCACCCCGATTAACGACACCTTTCGGAGTGATGCTGAATGCCCGAAGTCTGTACAGATCATCCCCAGCTCGTGGATTGTACGCTTTTTCCGGCAAACTGTGCACACGTGGTCGGATGTGATCTGGCACTGCAACATATTGATGGACAGTTAATTAAATCTGTGCCATTAGTTAGGACGGGAAAACAGATTACATAAACAGATATTGATTAGGTGTTCCATTAATTAGGTATTGTTTCTCGTTGACTAGCACATTGCTGCCGTCTGTTCCTCCAAGTTTCTATCTTTGATCATTTCGGGGGCTAATAATGAGGAAATTATCACGAGAAATTCAATGGAGCAAAGTGAGAGTAAGGTGCTTGATTCTTGATAAATAAATGAAAAGATAAAGGGAATTTTAAAGAAGAAAATATTAATTTTCGAGCAGCGTACTAGCTGCCAAATATCCTATTTTCATATGCATAGCTTGCCAATTTTAATTTCCGGCTCTTTTACGACTGGATGCACATAGGGAAATCGCTGATTTCCCAGGTATTTTTCAGCTGAACTCTCAATATTGCATGAACAAGTTTTATTACTCGTTCGAATTTCCATGCAAGGTTTCATCCTCCTACTACTCACGAGAAGTGCTCGTCGACTGGAATAACGCAAAGCGCATTACCGGACCATTCGAATCAAAGGGAAAAATTTGATTTGTCCCTCTGTGGAATTTTGTCTGCTTTTTCGGCACAACTGCGCCAGACTAGTTTTGAACTAACTCCTGTCTCGTACACGATTTTATCGAATCCTCTTTCGAACTTTTCTGTTTGTAAAAAACATCGTGCATGAAATGCAGTTTGATCATTTAAATGGAATGATGTATTTCAACGTGTTCGCTGTTTCATAGAAATTTAAGAGCCTTTGAGAGCCGAACGTGGCTCAGCATTCAGAGTAACCCTAGAAAGCAAGCGGCCAAGGGTCAAGGAATATCGTGGGTCTTCGCGTTTACAGCTTCATCAAAGACAGCTCATGCATACTGTATCAGAATATATAGCCTCCCTACGAAACGGGCAATTGCAAAATGAGTTACACCGTTGCCATTTTGATTTCAAGTAGTAAGAGTAAATAATAAATCAGACCGTTCGTCCTCTCGCAATTCAACTTAAAACGAATGATCGGTTATGGACGTCCAATAGAACAGTTCCTTATCGTGCGAGGATAACTTTGACCCGAATGGAAATTCAGTCACTTCGATTACGTTCGCTGACAAAGCGTAGCCGACGAACGTTCCAACATTTAATGCGGTTACACTCGACGAGGCACTCAAGAAGTTCACCCTCTGGCCGGGGTATCTAATTAGGGCAACGACGCTCGCTTGGAAGTCTCGAAATTAACCGCATGGTGAAAACTGACGATACTCGATTTCACCGGGAAATTTCAATGCCACGTACCTCGGTTTCACCGTGACAATCGACGAATGGGATAATGCTTCAATTAATTAGCATTGCATTAACTTCGATCTCCGTCCACGTGGCGCGTTGACTGACGTGGAATTAAACGGGCAATGATTTATCTGATTTTCAGAACGATCTACACATCTTTCCTTCATTTCTGCTCTGTTTTATATGGTAAAAAAAGAAAATACGAGTATATTTCCTCTTACTATTTCTACACGCGATATGATAAGATTATGCTAATTTGCGATCAGTGATTACGCATCTGTTCAGTGATTAAGCAGCTTAAATGGTATCCATTTAACACGTTGACTGACACAGTCGAAATAGCCGTACCTAGTATGACACGATACTTTACCCTACTACAATTTTCCTTGTTACTTTATAAAGTACGTGCATTATTTTCAACAATGAAGATAATCAAAAGGTATTCTCACAAGAGTAGCTATTTTTCAAGATCGTATCAAATACTTCAGCTTATACTACTACCATTTTTCATTTCAAATTTTCCCCTAAATCGTCCGGGGCATCGGTATCGGTCGCATTACAAGAATCCCTTCTGCACACACGTTAAGCCTGATCCCTGTTATCAATTCCAATAAACGGTGCACGCGTACCGTGCAAGCGGTGATAATTTTCGGTTGCCCATCGATTTTCTATTTTTAGAGAACTACTTATCAACGAACGTCCACCCCTGCAGCTTTTATCATATTTCTCTTCCGTCAATTAAATAAACTATCAAGCCTCGAAACTCTGATTTAACTAATTTGATTTTATGATACAAGGGAAACTGGCCAATCTCTGTTTGCAGAAAGTATTTATCCAACGGACGTCAACCGCGTAATTAATTTCCGGCCTGCAGATACTTTAGGGTAATCCGTCAGCTTGCTGTTCATCGGGGGATGCCGGCAAATCCGACAGACAGGGGTTACGAAATGAGTAGGACAGAAATTATTTTCGTGATAACGGCCACGATATCACCCTTCGCTGTTACTACGCTCCCTAAGGATCAAGGGAAACAGATACGTCTTCGAAGGGTGCTCGAAAAGCTCTGTTGACATAAGGATGAAAAAACGATTTTGATGTAAGTGGGGGAAAGTTTCTGTTGTTCGGGATGATTTATTTTTATGCGTGGGGTAATGGTGTTCGATTATTGAAATTATTATGATTCATGAAATGTTTTTAATCTGCCCAAGAGGATTTGATGTGTATGAGTGCCTCTCCATTGTAAAAATGTTCGCTTGTAACACACAGGCATTCGCTACGCACAGAGAATGCGTGAACGATATTTATTTCGTTAACGAAGACCTCGTTCCGCATTTTAGTAGTACATGCACTGAAAGTTTAAACCAGGCCAAACAGGACCGTGTCGCCCCCGCTTCCGATACGATTCAATGTAAACAGCAATGTACAATTAAAAAAGCCAGAAACAATGGCCGATCCGATAACTTGACCCTGTTTCAATGAAACTGTCGTTCAATTGTTACCATCGTGTCGCGAAAATTCACGCCGCAAAAAGGTCATGAAAATTCGCCTCTAATTCGGTAACATCTGGTGCACGTGCTCGAATACACAGAATATCCGAACCACTACAGTTCAAGAATGCTCCTCTATGGTGCAGCGAAATAATTTTCCTAATTACTCGATAAGAATCTTACACAACGATGCTTCCACCGAGCGTTTTCAAATATTGAACAGAATACAAGTCTCTTGTAGGTAGCCTTCGTCGCCACTTTTCTACTATCACGACCCGTCTCGAGCCAACTAACTTGTCTTCTATTATTACTTTCAGTGCCAGCTGCAGATAAAATGAAATAAACTAACTTGTCTCCTATAAGATTAAAAAAGTATATAATACTCTACAAGACTTAATGATCAAGCAGCGCCGATCCTTGAGACGAAACAAATTGAAATACTACAGTATTATCGTCATAAAAATTGTCCAACGGTATTAAAATTAATTTCTGTAGGGATAAGTTGAAGATATCCCTTGATCCTTTCAAAATGTTGACCATTCTTTATCGTTCAACGACCTGAAGACTCAAGGCGGTCTTATCCATGAAGAACGATAACTAATGAGGGAAAGACGTGCTTACCGGGTAGCTCCAAGAAATTCGAGGTTCTTCGTTGTCTACCTCGGGGATGAGCGGTGAAATTTAATGGGCCTAAATCCTCGTTGCTGACGTTCGACAAATTGGAACACTGGCTGTCGCGTGAACCGCGTCTGGACGCTAGATACGCTGAAACACAAAGCGACGCTCGATGAATTTCATCGAATAGCGACTGGGAATTCGTGGTGTGCATCCCTTCAAAGGGATTTATCATGGATGAATCGCTCGAGGGTCGGATAATTGCAACATGGAATGAACGCGCTACGTGATTTCACTGAAAATGCGTTAAATTATGATTCGCGATGGTGATTATAATGGTCAGGACGTCGATCAGGAATTGATGAAAGATCGAACGGGAACAAATTCTCGAAACGTGTTCAAAAGCAGTAGGATTTTTAAGCCTTTCACATTTTCAAAAAATATTTTTATCCGCCATCCGTATAGCAGGAATATAATGAAAGTTTCAATGTGAAAATTAAATGTAAAAATACCTGTGAATAAGAAATTCCACGTTGCAAATAAAATTTGATGGACGGAATTATTTTGTATTTTAAATGAAATGATTCACTGCGGCAGTGGTAAAGGGATTAAATTATAAGTAGATTCTATTTGTTCTACAGTGCAATTTACATGAAATTTGTAATAACTAATATTGAAACAAATTGTGGGAGCGTACAGTATTTGTAAAATTCAAGGAAAATTTCCCGAGTTTTTTCAGCCGTCTGCCGACTCTTTAAACCGTATTAAATCAATTCTCCATTCGTATTCAACAGTACTGCTCTACAATTCTCCTTGATTACGAAATCCGATTTAAGCATCGCGCGAAACGTGATTCTTCAAAAAACTCGACTCGTTATCCCGTTATACGAACGTGACCGAACTTTTATAACCGTGGATAGCTTGAAAAAATTAATTTAACCCTTGAATGGCAGTGGCCGGGTCACTCGCGCCCCAGGCCTTCATCTAATTAATCTCTTTCGCTCGATGAGCTTCGTACAATACCTCGGGCATGATTTTAAACCGATTGTCGATAGTGCTTGTTAATTAGCAAGCGAGAGTATTGTTTCGCGCGAGTAATAGTATCCAGATAATTAGACGAGTTCGTGAACGATATAATATTTCATTACCAGGTAATGTCATTTACAATTTCATCGGTCACAAAGCTCGCCCTCGCATTAACGAGTCAATAATGAACCCTTTCGCGATTCGATGAATTCGCTAATTAATTTTTCTACTCGTTACACTTTGGAAACGCTTTTAAATTCGATCCGACGTGCGTATTTGACGACCTGTTTTTATTAACTTGCTTGTTCATCAGCGTTTTATATGGTATTTTGTGAAAATCAGAAATGTGAACAAAATACGTGAACTTTTAATTTTAAAGCTCCAAAATAAAATCAACTTTGTTAGAATTTCATTTAAAAAACATGAGACAACATTCATATTTTAAAATATTCTGAATTTCAAAAAATCATAACAGGAGATAATTTGATTAATAAAAAGAAAGTAAGCTTACCTAGACCGCCTTTCATAGAACCCCTTCTTCTTGGACTCGACAGCAGCGTCACTTCCGTATCACCGTCTCCAATTTCCGTCAAGTCACTGGTCGACCTTCTCGCCATACTCTTTCCGCTTTTCTCATAGTCCTCTTCCTTCGTTCTACCCTGACTCTTTCCAACTTCATCCAGGCATCCTTGACTTCGATTCATATGCCCACCCTTCTTGCCACCCTTCTTTTCAATAGGGCTTTCCCTCTCTTTGAACGAACTTTCCATAGACGACCTCCTGGATCCACTATTCTTATGATTTCCATTATTCAGCTGTTCCAGGTGTATCTCGCTGAGCTTTGGACTACATGGTCCATGGGACGAAGAAGTGACTATGGTGGGAGACATGGGACTCTTAGATCCAGTGAATCCAAAGCAAGAGTTCCTGCGATGATCGAAAGATTTCGGACTCTTCGGGACGAAACTCGTGGAACTGGGTGATCTGGCTGGGATTATGGGCGATCCAGGTATGGGACTTCTAGGTGGATAGCTCATAGTCTTCCCCAGATTCTTCCTGGTCTCGCAGAATTGGAATATCGGCGACTTTCGACCCGGAGAATGCAACAGGTCCGGATTAGGACTCTTAGGACTCCTGCATCCTTGACGGACGTAGTAACTAGGACTTCTGGGTGCTCGATCAGTCTCGTTCGCACGGGCAAATTGCTCGAAATCGAAGTTCGTGTTCGGGGTTTCCGGATAATACCCTGGCGGGAACTCGAAGACCAACGGAGTGCTCGGTGATTTGACCGCCGACAGCTGCGTAGGACTTCTCTGTCCTCCGATCGGGATTTGTGGCAATTGCGGTAGCTGACGAGGGCTACGGGGTGATTTCAGGTGTATCGATTGACCGGGGCTGTTGGTCGCCATCTTCGACAGGTTGACGAGTACACACCTTCTTCTTCCTTCCTCCCTGTCGATCGTCTTCTTCCCTACCTTCCTTTCGCTCGTCCTTTTTAATCTATCAGGGAGAAAAACGAGTCTCTCCCGGGCTCATTGTGCCTCAACGGCGACAATGAAACACGAGACTCTTTGTTGCTCTCCTCGATCACCTCCAGCTTCCTCGCGACAGCGAACCGCCAACCGTTTCCAACGGATTCGATTTTCATCTCAGCAAGTGTTTTTCTTCTCATTTCTTCGACCACTTGCGCATCTTGTTCCCCGTGGTTTTGTCTGAAGATGTTTGGAAACGAAGTGTTTCAGACGAGAGAGGACTTTAAACGGTTCTTCAAGGTACGATTGTTACAGAAAGCTGGACACTGACAAACCTGGAATGTTTCATTTGTGTTAAATATATTTGATTAAGAACTAAATATCCTGGCTGGAATTATTTTGCATTGAAAGTAATTAATTGTAAATTCATTTTAACGAATACAAGTTGCAGTGCATGTGGAAAATGCTGGTCTCATAGGAAACCAATGTAAACAAAAGGATACCTTTTTAATATGATTTGAGGGGAAAATTATTCTCTGGCGTGGACAAAGGGGAACAATTCCAACGAGTCGCAGTAACATTTCTGCTGAGGGCAAAATTAATATCAATCACAGAGTATTTCTGTGATATAACTAAACCGCGTAAACAGTGTAGACTCGTTTCTCTTTCATCTTCGATCAGAAGAGGAAATTTCTACGTATCGCATGGTTCACGCGAGACCACCATTTATTTACTTGTAATAATTATATTTTAATGATACACGATATTAAAAAAAATTCATCTCATAAGAATATTAAATATTGGGAGATTAAAATCAGTTATAAAACGTGCAGAAGTATGAATGAAACTCGTTAAGAGTTAGTGCCCCATTTTCTCGTCTAATAAAAAAGTTTTAACTCTAAAGTACAGACTTTTCTGAAGAAACCTTTTCTTTGATATTCTCCACCATCCCTCTACACTTATATAAATTTTTTTGCCAATGAGACAAGCAATCTTTAATTCATTCGTGATGATTATTTCTTATATTACAGTGCAAAAAATTTATCACATTTCTATAATATTCTATTTAAAAAATTTTATGGATTCAAGTACGCAGCCTTAATCCTCGTGCACCGTTCCAGTTAAATGTAATCGGAATCCTATATTTATTAAACTTTTAATAACACAATTTATGTGAAATTTGCTAATTTTCATTAAAACTATTCGTAGAAAAATGTGTTCATCGACTATGACCTTGTTTTCTTATAAAGAAAATGAAAATTTAAAAGGTGCATAATGATTAATGCACATCGGACTTATCGCGAAGGATCATCGACTCACCAGGCACTTCTTCGAAGAATTAACCTGTTGATCGCAACCGTGCGAGGAGCATCGCCGCGTTGTTTTCTTCCTTTTTAGCCGGTTTCGCGGTCGAATCGAACAATTCCATGAGAGAATTATGTTTATTCTCACAGACAAGCCTGACGAGGAGCAATGCTAACGATAGGAGCAACAGGGGATGTGATTTGTGAGATGAAAACGCGACGTCCGCGTTCCGAATAAAGCACGAAGAACCGAGCTACCTCTTCGACAGGAGCTTGCGCGTTACTGAGGGGTTGCAGCGTACGGGCCATCGTTTCCACCCCCGCCACGAACATCACCCTGCTCGACCTCCCACCTTCCAACGTCCCCGGGGCTTTCCTTCTCTTCGCACGTGCCTCTTTGTCAATTCGATCCATTTCCCTGCCGTGCTTCCGTGGGATCTCCTTAGCCTTCTTTACCTGAGGGTTGAAAGAAATATCGTTCTGTCAGCCACGACACGAATGTCGACCCTTTTGAAGTTCTTCCCAGAGTTCACGGCCTTCTCGAATACGCATTTGATCGTAGCTAGACATCGATCACTTTGGCTACTAAAGTTTGATGAATACCGCTTCAGTTGCTACTTCGAACGACACTTCGACAGTTCTATTCTGATAATAATTCTTGTGAGGACGTCTACGAGAGTGGGTGGTAACACAGATATTAATTATATGGAATTTTAAGTTCATTATTTAAGGAGTCATTGTAAAATTTTATAAAAATTAAAAATTGATCTCTACAAGATTTTATAGAATTTTCAATAATTTGTAAAGAAAGATTCATTCGTGGCAACGAACGACAAATGCGAAAGGATACGGTCGCTATATTCCCCGGGGAAATTGGATTCCTGTGTAAAACCGCAGACAGCTACTGGTACCACGGTGCGCCCTTTAGGGTAATCGACCATTTGCGAGGACACCGTAAACGTTCACCGAGATTGCGTTTGAATTTGCATCGTGAAAAGTATCGCGGCACTTGGAGAGCTCCGTGGTCAAACTTCAGTAAACACATCGAACAAACAAACCCGACTTTCGATGCATTCAACTCCTCGGTAAGTAGTATCCAACCACGGCAAGGGAAGCCTTACAATGAAGGAAGATGTTGCAAAAATTAAATTAGTGATTAAAAAGGACTGCTTGATGTTGAAAAATAAATATTATTAGAGCTCCTTTCATCTTATAATCAATTGCTGATGTTTTTCCTTTTCCATTTTACAGTGCGTTATATAAAAGGTGGACATAAAACAATTCTAAATAGTAATGGAACATTTAATAAGCTAAAAGATTTAAACACTAATTCTATTTCTATGTTTTCTAATTTCGTATTTCACCGTATCGATGACGCTCTGTGTACACCGACCTGACATCCTGGGGCGTTAGGAACCCCAAAGCGTCCACTGCGCCATCTACACAAAAGCAGTGGAAACTACTCATCAAATTACCGACTTATCGACTGAACTTCCGACAGTCGGTAATCGACCCTTCGGCAGTCGGTAAGTTACCGAATAGTTTGCGTCGCTTTTATATAAATGGCGCAATGGTCGATGGCTTTGGGGTGTCAGGGACCCCGAAGCACCAGCTACTCTGCATAGCGCCATATGATTCTGGGGTGTTGGCGACCCCGAAACACCACTGATACATTGCATACCGACATTATGGCATCCGGGGTGCCAGGGACCCCTACATTCTTTTCATCTCTACATTCTTTTCATCCCTACATTCTATTCATCCCTACATTCCTTACATCTCTTCATCCCTTAAATCCCTACATCCTTATCATCCCTACATTCTTTTCATCCCTACACTCTTTCCATCCCTACACTCTTTTCATCCCTACATTCCTTTCATCCCTACACTCTTTTCATCCCTACACTCTTTTCATCCGTACACTCTTTTCATCCCTACATTCTTTTCATCCCTACACTCTATCCATCCCTACACTCTTTCCATCCCTTCACTCTTTTCATCCCTACATTCCTCACATCTCTTCATCCCTTACATCCCTACATTCTTTTCATCCCTACATTCCTCACATCTCTTCATCCCTTACATCCCTACACTGTTTTTTTTTCGAAATTTTCTCGAAATTCTCGAAAAATAGCGCCCCCTAACGGCAAAAATGTGAACTAAAATTTCGATGTCGAATCAGCGCCCTCTGGTTGCGAAAAAAGGAACTAAAGCTTGCTCAATTTCTGGCCCTCTGGCGGCAAAAATGTGAACTAAAATTTACTTGTCGAATCAGCGCCATCTGATGGTGAAAAAAGGAACTAAATCTTGTTCAATTTCTGGCCCTCTGGCGGCAAAAATGTGAACTAAAATTTCGATGTCGAATCAGCGCCTTCTGGCGGCGAAAAAAGGAACTAACTTACCTTTACTCGAAGCAGTCTTTATAATATATTTACTATAAGGGATGCAGAGATGTAAGGAATGTAGGGATGAAAAGAATGTAGGGATTTAAGGGATGTTAAGAATGTAGGGATTTAAGGGATGAAGAGATGTAATGAATGTAGGGATGAAAAGAATGTAGGGATGAAAGGAATGTAGTGATGAAAAGAATGTAAAGGAAACCCGTAGGGGTCCGCGGCTGGGGCCCCGGTCTCCACTGCACACGGCCCGAGGAGTGCCGGCATCGGGTGCGGCCCCCGATGTCGGCGGAGTTTGGCACATGGGGGAGGGTCAAAAGACCTCCCTACCGCCCTAGTGCAGGCCACCGTGGTGGTTTTAGTGGGTAAAAATCCCACACTACCTTCGGCCCCTTCCCAGGGGGGCTGAAGGTGTCTTTCTGAAGATTTCCACCACGTTAAAAAAAAAAAAAAAAAATGGGTATTTAAGGGTTGCAGGAATGTAAGGAATGGAAGGAATGCAGGAATGTAAGGGATACTGAGATGGCCTTGGCCTATAATGGGGGATAAAATTATATAAATAACTGGAAAAAGTAAAATAAATGGGGTCCTCGGCTGAAACGCAGAAGAAGGATATAATCATAAATGTTATTCCTCTTCGATGAGCTTATTTAATAAGCAAAAAAAAATAAATGAAGTAAATTAAATAAACTCTGAAAAAAAATTATAGTGGTTGTGCCCTCTTCATACGGACCTGATAGTATCCAGGGGTGTTAGGGATCCCGCTGCGCCAATGTCGCGTTCTGGGTACCGACCTGATATCATATTGGGGTATTAAGGAACCCGAAACGCCGGTACCAATCTTCGCATACCAATAATATATCATCTGGGGTGCCAGGGACCCCGAAGCACCAGTGACTATCTCTACATACCGACATATCATCTTGGGGTGTCAGGAACCCCTAAGCACCGGTGACATTGTTTGCATACCGACATTTCTGCATCCGGGGTGCCAGAGACCCCGAAGCACCGCTGATGCTTCGCACACTGACATTGTGGCATCCGGGGTGCTAGGGACCCCGAAGCACCGGCGACTCTTCATACCGCCATATCATCCTGGGATATTAGGGACCCCGAAGCACCGCTAATACTATACATACCGACATTGGCATCCGGGGTGCCAGAGACCCCGAAGCACCGCTCATACTTTACATACCGACATTGGCATCCGGGGTGCCAGAGACCCCGAAGCACCGCTGATACTTTGCACACCGACATTGTGGCATCCGGGGTGCCAGGGACCCCAAAGCACCGGCGACTCTTCATACCGCCATATCATCCTGTGATGTTAGGGACCCCGAAGGACCGCTGATACTATACCTACCGACATTGGCATCCAGGGTGCCAGAGACCCCGAAGCACCGCTGATACTTTGCATACCGACATTATGACATCCAGGGTGCCAGGAACCCTCCACCTAAAATGTGCGACCCATCATAGACTTTTTATAGAAAAATTGAAATCTCTGTAATTTTTGACTCCGACCACTTATAATTAGTAACTCAGTTGCTTTTTTCAAATGATTTATTTACCAAAATGCATTAACTGAATACAAGTTTGTCAAACAAATACAATAATAATTGTTCAGTTTTATGAAAATTGTGTCTTTTCGTTACTGAAAAGTTACTGATAAAACAGGCACGATTATCATACTGACTGTATTCTCTGCATGCAGATCTAATCTCCTCTGGGTTGTCTGGGAACCTCTAAATTATGACCCCACGAAAACAAAGGCATGTCCAGTCTTTTATATCTTTAATCACTGGTTCATACATTCCTATATTTCTACGTATAGTATAGAGTCGAAACATTCTTTGAATGTGTTTGAGTATTCCCTCACTACTGTTCGGCGAAAACGTGGTCATTTGTAACGTTACAGATTTATTTATATTATACAATAATGGGGAAAGGACGGCAACATAAACCGAAAAAAAGTTTTGCTGAGAAACGTCGTGAGAAACAGAAGGTATCATATTTTTTATTATCAAAAGAAACGCCGGTCGTTGGTGTGGTTATATTTATTTTTCGTGTCAATCTAATCAGTTTTAATAAATTATCCAGAAGAAGGATGAGTGGAACAATGTATTACACCAAAGCTATGCAGACATTGTCCGAGAAAACAAGGATTTTGAGAACTACTATAAAACTCAGAAAATTGTTCCTGAAGATCAATGGGATTCCTTTATAGACACTATGAAAAAGAACCTTCCAGTAGCATTTAGGATTACAGGATCAAAAGGAGAAACTAGATTATTACTTGAAACTATTAAAAGTAGTTTCTTTAAGGAGATCTTGAATACACAAGCAAAGGAAAGTTCAGAAAATAATGAAGAGGCAAAAGAGATATTGAAATGTATACCCTTTTACCCTGATGAACTAGCTTGGCAATTACAGTTGACTAGAAAAGATATCAGAAGATCTGAAGCATATTTTAAATTACATAATTTTCTAATTGTTGAAACTGATTGTGGAGGTATCAGTAGGCAAGAGGTGGTCAGTATGGTACCACCTCTAGTATTAGATGTTAAACCTTCCCATAAGGTATAATGGATATAATTGAATTTAGATTAATAAATCTATATGTGAACTTAAAATAAATAATTTTAAATAGGTTTTAGATATGTGTGCAGCACCAGGATCAAAAACAGCTCAACTAATAGAGATGATACATTCCGAAGAAGGAGGTGGACTTCCAGGTGGTTTTGTAATAGCCAATGACCTTGACAATAATCGTTGTTATATGCTTGTACATCAGGCAAAGAGATTAAATAGTCCTATTGTTTTGATCACAAACTATGATGCCTCTGTACTGCCTAAGTTTACTGTTGGCAAACCAGATGGTACCAAAGAAATGTTGCAGTTAGTAAAATCTTAAATATGCATTAAAAAACATCTACATAAGTTTTGTGTAATGTATGTGTCTTGTTATAGATTTGATAGAATACTTGCAGATGTACCATGTAGTGGTGATGGTACCATGAGAAAAAATCCTGATATCTGGTGTAAGTGGAGTCCAGCAAATGGTAATCATCTTCATGGGTAAATATGATTCCATATTAAATTATGCAATTTGATTAACAGCACTAATTTAGATCTATGCATTCATAGAATTCAGTATAGGATAGCAAAGAGAGGATTGGAATTACTAGCAGTTGGAGGAAGGATGGTGTATTCTACCTGTTCACTAAATCCAATTGAAAATGAAGCAGTGCTTCACAGACTGCTTCTTGAAACTCAGGATTCTGTAAGACTAGTTGATTGCAGGGATTTAGTGCCTGGATTAGAATGCAATCCAGGTGTAACACATTGGATGCCAGCATCGAAAAATTTACAATATTACGAAACTTGGGAAGATGTGCCCGAACAGTTGCAAACACAAATTCGGCCGCAAATGTTTCCTCCTAAAGCGGAGGATGCTGCCAAATTTCATTTAGAACGATGGTAATATTAGTTGTTGCCAAACAACCATATCAGTTTATAGTTAGGTGACCGTTAAATTAATTATTATAATTGTTCAGTATGAGAATATTACCTCATCATCAAGACACCGGCGGATTCTTTGTGGCTGTCTTGGAAAAGGTAACGAGGTTACCATGGGAACGTGAATCTTGCACGAATAATGTGACTGCAACTAAAGAAGACAGTAATAAATTAAGTTCAGAGGTAGAAGTAAAAAAAGACACTGGAGATAATTCGAAAGAAGGTAATAATGAATTGAGTTTAGAGGAAGAAGTGATACAAGACTTACAAGAGGGTAAAAGGCCATTGGAAGATGAAAACAAATTACGGGAACCTAGAAGAAAACGTAAAAAATTTACGGGATATAAAGAAGATCCGTTTGTGTTCTTTCAGGATGATAAGGAAGATGTATGGTTGTCTATTAAGTAAGTTGCATATTTTATTAAAGTTTCATTTATTTTATGTATTTTCAAATTAATTTTCAATTTTTAGGAAATTCTATGACATATCCGATGAGTTGGATCCCAGGTGTCTACTGGTGCGATGTCTTAGCATGAAAAAGAAAAATATTTATTATACGTCACCGGAGATTCGTAGCATTGTTATCGCTAACGAAGATCATATTAAATTGATAAATACTGGAGTAAAAACATTTGTACGTTGTGAGAATAAAAATATGAATTGTCCGTTTAGACTAGCACAGGAAGGAATACAATGTATTATTAAGTATATGGGGGATTCTAGGAAAATCAGGGTAACTAAAGATGATCTGATAATGATTTTAAAAAATTTTGATCCAATGACACCACCTGAAATAACCAAGCTTGATGCTGGAACTCAAGAACGCTTAAACAATTTTGGTAATATATCTCATAGTTCTAAAACGAACATTTATGATAAGATTTTGTTCTACAATTTATTCATGGATTGTTTTAGCGATGGGAAGTTGTATACTTATATATGAAGAACATGAAACCGACCATCCAAATCCATTGAAATTGCAAATAGTTGGATGGCGAGGAACTATGTCTCTAAGAGCCTATGTTCCCAAAAATGACGCGATTCATTACTTACGACTACTAGGAGCTGATTGCTCTCAGTTTGGTAGGTCTTTATAAAACAAATACGTTTATATGTTTATGATTTCATCATTAAAAAATTTATATTTCAGAGAAAAATAAGTTTAAGGAAAATCGTGAATCTATGCCTACCGAAGAATTGAATAGCACGGAAATCGCTAACAATGTTGCTGAAGAAAATGGTGACATTGAGATGGAGAATGAATTAGAACTTTGAGTTAAAAAAAGAACACATCATAATGCAACTTGCTGTTCCTTTAATATTTTTAGAGACATCAGTTTCAGTATCTTATAAGGAAGAACAAAAAATTTTTTATTTTGTTTAACTGTTGATAACAGTATTCTCCATATGGAGAAACGACAAGATAAATATTATAAATGTACTATGATGAAATATATTGTATAAAAAACGAAATAAAACGATTTCACAGGAGAAAAAAGTGACAGTAATTTAATGGGAAATACCTTTTTACTATTCATTTTCTGTGAAATAATTTATGAAAGTACATATAATATTTTGTGTGTAGTTTGAGCGATAAATACCCTTTTCTTTTATTATGTTCGGCCACTAGATCCAGGATATTTTTGCTGTTAGATTATAGTACAAATATTATTATAAATATGGCCGGATGTAGAGGAATCATTAATTCTGAAATGGCCAATGCCATAACGTGTAATAATACGTTGTTAAATCGTATTAAACTTCTTGCATCTACTTTACGGTAAAATTGAAAAAGATGAATAATCTTATCGCGTGTCTCGTCGATACTAGCTTTAATTACATTGCGTATTAGATGTTCGCGATTTTCAATTTAATTGATAACAAGATTCCTAGATCCTAGAGATTAGAAGGTTTTTGAACTTACGATTAGAAATTCGTTCAACACAGAGATTTCTACTAATGAAGGACGGGTTTTTCTATAAAAAAAACATTTAAATATAAGTATAAATATGAAAAAACGCTGGACAGCTCGTAACATATAGATAAACTATAAATGATAACAAAAGAAAAATCTTTTCTAAAACTTTTTACACTCCGAAAAACTCGAAGTTGACGGTCGATGCTAATAATCCCTACTGGTTGGTGAGGTCATTTTTCCGGCAAGATTTTGAGAATTGGATGGAGACTTTGAACCTGGGAACAAAACGAATTTGCCACATAGTCATTCATTGGATCTATACATCAATAAACTTACAGCTTTTTGCTAGCTTGTTTCGTGGATTGTTTGTGCAAGGATGTTCACCCATCAGATGTTCCTTCCATTTATTCTGATTGACAAGAGTGGAACAAAGTGGACAACGATCGTAGCCGTCGATGGGTTCTGCAAGGGAAAGAGTAATTTATACAATTTTAATTACTTATTAATTACCCACGTCAAATCGAGATGCATACTTGTACACTTGTTATCTTTTCTATGCTCTTCATAAGAATGCTCATTAATAGCTAATCTGCATGTGTCACACTTGACATAATTGCTTCTCATATCACATTCGTCTGAAAGGATAGTACAGAAGTTAAAGAAATAGATAAACGTAAATTTAGTTCATTTATGACGAGCCATTACTCACTTAACAAATGTAAATTCAAATACGAAATTTCTACCACTTGTTTGCACGCCTCGCACTTTGTCAACATCGGACAACTTTTCCAATAATGAATATTTAATCCTTCCTCGGAATACCCTTGGCCTTTGGAGAGGCAAAATATGCATATCCTGTGAAATAGACAAAAAAAAAAAAAATTGTTATACAATGATTTTGCAAAGATGATTCATTAGTTACTTACTTGTCACCCTTATATTCTGTACTATTCTCGGACGGAGATGTTATACTCGTTGAGCTTCCGGTGCTAACGACAGGACTAGTTCGCGAAGGAGATTTCGTTAAGTTTGCTACGTTATTCTCCGTCGATTTTGTCCGTGTGGGTGTCGTTGTTTTGTGACTCGCTTCCGTTTCCTTTTTCCTCTGTAATCGATCAAGAATTTACATACAATTCACATGCACACATTCCTTCTACCGAAGTTCCGTTACCTGAAGATCAATCAGATCGAATTCGTGAAACAATTGACGATATAATAAGTTTCTCCTGGTGATATCATCATCAGGGGGTAGCTGCTTGCGTACCAATCTAGGATTCACCTTATATACTAGCACCAAAATCCTTTCTGAAACTTTTCTGACCGCTTCCGCTGGATGGTGCAACCCCGAGGAGCCTAGCTCTGATAACGTTCGACAAGTCAGTCCGCTACAACAATTACAATGCCTTATCAGAGTAATTGCGTTTTAACGGGACAATCTTAATGTCGAAGGTAGACCTTTGCGAGTGACATCGAGTAAAATTTAATCATTCGGTCACACACAAAGGTCTAACATTATCTTTAATCTTAAAATCTGACATATAAAATAATAGAATCAAGATTACGTTGTTCTGAGTCACCTTTGCTTATCAGTAGAGATGCCGTGGTTCAAAATCAATTGTTCCACCATTTCTAGCCTGCTAAGGGCAAGTCGTTGATGCGTACTACTGCTAACAGGTCGCGTCAGATGCACCGGTATAATATGCAATTCCCTAACGCATTTACAATCCGCCATACTGAGTATCGTATGCACTGCCATGTTATGAATCCTCGGGGTAGTGTCGCCTGATTTTGTCAACAGCTCCGGTAGCAGTCTTTCTACACTTCTCGCAATTTCCGTTGACGATACTCTAAGGTAAAAAAATGAACAATTGGTTATTGATTTGAATGTTTCAGACACCAATTAAAAATACATCTTCACCTGTCTGCCGCGAATTCTGAGAAGAAGATTCTAATCAATTGTGCTGCTAGACTATACACGCTGAAAACTTTGTCTCTAAGGGCTCTATGCAATAATAAAATAGCTGCTCTCGCAGTTTTATTCGCCGAGTTTTTCGAAACTTCCGGATCGAACGTCTTCAACTCTTCCTTCAACTGCATCAAACCTTCCTCCTTGTCCGTGAATTGTTTCGAGTAGAATTTCTCCACCTGAGTCATTCGTTAATTATCAGCATTGTTTGCGAGCTAATCAAAATAATCGTTCGAAACTTGCATCACCATTTCCATCCCGAAGACGGCTATGGGTAAGGCAGCTTGCTTCTTCTCCCTGTCGTTCAGCTTCGATATCGCCTTCGATTCCGTGTTGTCCATGTGGCACTCCCTAGTAAACTCGTTCGTATGCGAACTAAAACACAAAATAATGCAATTCCTGTTTTTTTTATCATGTGCGTTTTCATCGTCTTACTGTCTCAAAGCTGGTATCGTCCTCTCCTCGTAGGCTTCGTAGCTGGATCGAAGCGCCGGTCCTGCAGATTTGGTTTTCCGCCTGAGAGATCCTTTATTGCAATTGTTTTGCCTCTCCACGACACCGTTCGTAGGGCTATCAGTTACTTCTGCAAAATTTGGGATTAATCGATTAAAACTTCGAATGGGTGTTTCTAGGAAATAACACGAAACGTACCAGGACTGTTCGGTTTCTGATGCAAAGGCGAAACTGGTGGTTGATGTGCAGGACCCGTCGGCGATATAGCACCGTCGCGATTCGGGGGAATCACCAATCTCGGAGGAGATGTGATGTCTTCAGGAGGAGCTGTCGCATTCGAAGTACACGTATCTACCGATATGGGCTCCTTTCCCTCCATCGATGACATGTTATTTTTCTCCAATGGCTATTAGCATGATCAAAAACATATCAAGTGGCAACTAGAAACTTCTTATGATAATACATTTTCTAAAAAACAGTTACCCCATGAAGTTCGAGTAGATCTTGCACCTCTAAGCTTTGGTAGACCTGCTGCCTGTATTGTTGCGCTTGAGCCTTCTTCGCTTTGGCCTTATCGTAATCCTCTAAAGCAATGGCGTATTTCTTTTCCAATTCATACTTCCCAAGACGTTCACCGGCTTTCCTAAGATTCTCCATCGCTACCTTCAGCTTCGAAGCGTACTCGAACCTCTCCTCTAGAAATCGCATGCAAATGTTGGTCTTTGATTGAATGATCATTTCTTGGATACGTACCTTCCACAGCCTGCAGTTTCTTCGCCTCCATTTGCCTGATTATTTTCGCGACATCACGATCGACGTACATTTCGAATGCTAAATCATCGTATGGGGAGGTGTAATGGGGATTGTACGGTGCATCCCCCTGACCAGTCAACTCTTGCCCGTAAGGTTCCCCAAGGATATTGATAGCGATAAGACCGACCTACGCGCAATGATCATTGATAAAAGCACCCTGTTCATGATACGATATATGTCTCACGTTCGATATGTACCTGTTGATAAACATTGTGCGCGTTACTGTGCGGTTTGTGCAGTCTCAATTTCAACGAGACAGCCTCTGTCTCCGGAAGGGCGACACTTTTCAGCTCCCTGCTTTTGTACATCGTCGAAGCATTGTCCGACAATGTAATGTAACCCAAATAACTGAAGTCTGTTGTGACAGATGCATTCTCTTCTTTTGACGTCCAAATTTCCAGCTTTTCCGCTGTAAAGATATAGTAGAAACAGAAGGATGCATAAACGACGCAAATTAAAGCATCTCTCGGTATTAAATTTGTAGTAGAATTAGAAGGGAGGCTGAAGTGAGAGGGGTGAAAACGACGTAGCCTCGGGAAGTCAGGGTTGAAACGGTTAATTCGATCTTCATTGTTAGTAAATTGCTATTTAGAGAATAGCAGAGTTGCGGTTTTCAAAAATCATTCGTGATAAAAGAATAACTTACGAATTAGATATTGGTGAGCTAAAACCTGTATTCTCGTAAGTTTCGTCGGACCGTGAAGACGAAGAATTAATTCCTGAGGATATGTACATCTTCGTGAACTTTGCCAACCCCTTACCGTCGGTCCATGAATGTTTAATTCCAAAGAAGAGTGCCTATCTTCTTCACCTGGAATTTATAATGATTGACAAACGTCTTAAAAATAACAGCAACCCTAAATCTTTCTTGTGGAATTTTTACAATTTCCACCTGTACCGATTTCACGTCACGTAATGGCATCGTTCTGGTTTTCTGAACAAAAATGGAGATAGCTATGTGATCGATAATGTTTTAATTCTGAAATTATACTTTCAAGAGTGAACCGCTAACGCGAGACATCGTCACGCGATGTGTACTTACAACTCGACACGTTTTAACGATATTATGATTAAACAAACGTACATTATCCTAAGTAACGCTATTGAAAATAAAAAATATCAAATTTAATATTTAATTATGATGTACAATAGAAAACATGGTTTTATTAACCCTGAACAACAGCAAATTGCTGGCCGTATCGAGAAGCGGTGAAGCACGTGTCGAGCCGATGCTGTTAATTTGTTTTTCTAAACACACCAACAAAAATGAAGTATTTTTCATATTAAAAAGGAACGGAAAAATCGGTCTTTATTCGCGCACAAACAATCATGCGATTTTTATACTCATCTAATAATTTATTTTTTCATACTACTTGTGCATATATTTTTTATTGCAAATTTTGGATTTGCGCAAATAATTCGCACCACTACGAGGTTATTGGTATTCGATAAATTTTACAATCACAATATTTTATGTGTTTCTTACTGGTTGCGTATACGACGCTGAATCCAATTTTTCGTGGCATGTCGGGGGATGATTTTCTGCTGATGTACAACTTACTGAAATGTACAAGGAGCCGTGTAAAAAAAATAAAAGATAAAAAAAAGGGTACAACAGGAGAAAGATAAACGAAGAAAACGTCAAAATCTAAAAGGCACAGCCATCTGAAAGCTCGATAAGGGGGAGCTTGCAAGTTTCACCCCGGCGCGTAGGTAACGCCACTTGCACGTCTGGCCGCGGCGAAGCTTGCGACAGAACTGGCTAACTGCACCCGTTCCGCAAGCGGAAACACTGATCTCGAGACCTCTAGCTTTTTTTCGCTAGTCAGAGAAGAGCCATTCTCGTATTTTCAAGTTCTTTTATCGATAAACGAATGATCGGAAAACCTACAATCAACGATTCAATGTTATTTCTTTATTTTCAGAATGACTTTTGACATTTTAGGGTAGGGTAATAAAATATTTCTACAGATAGAAAAAATATCATACTGTTTGTTTAAAAATAAATCAATGTTACAGGGAAATTAATTGTAGAAAAATTTATTTCTTATATCGTTACGTAAATTTGTAAGGTTTCGTGGCTTGAAAGGGTGGTTTATTATATCTTGATTGCTTTTTGTACATGGTACATTGTGGCACCGTCTTGCATTCTATCCAAGTCGAAATATAGACTGTAATTTCGTAATGGATCAATAAACGGAGGCTGCGTGACGTCAGAGGGTGCGGCGAGGGTGGAATCGTTCGGAAGAATCGTTATATGGTGTTTCGTCTCTCATTCAAGACCACGTGTGCCTACACGTGCTTCTTAGTTTTTTAAACTAACATTTTTCACTGTTTTCTAATTGTTTCAGCTAGATCAGATAATCTGAAGAGAATGCATAATAAATATTCGACCTGATTAAAATACATATAATAAAGCTATATATTTTTAAAAACGTACAGCAATATACAGGTTTTATTTATACATATATTTGTTTATAATACAAGGAATGTAATTTTAAAGTCTTGATTGTACATCAAATTTACGTAGTCGCGAAAAGATATAGGAGGCCTTTTGCGAATTGGAAAATCTCTGATCCTCCCAGTTTTGATTCACCATAGACGCGATCAACAAACGTGATCGGTACTTCTCCTATGGTGTAATTTAATTGTCTGGCTCTAACTATCATTTCCATTTGGAAAACATATCCTTTTGACACACAGGATTGAATGAGTTTCTCCAAAACATCTTTCTTGTACAGCCTATAATGTTAATAATATTAAATTTATGAAAATTTCTACAATTCATATAAAGCAGCTGCAAAATATTAACCTAAAGCTTCCTGTAAGGTCACTGACACCTGGTCTCAACAAAATTTGTGTCAAAAAATTTGCTCCTCTGCTTATCAGCTTCCTTTTAAAATCCCACCCATAAACTCCTCCTCCATGTGCATATCTAGTACCAGTAACAATATCTAAATCAAGGTACCTCTGTTGCTCTATCATTTTGGGTATAAATTTGGGCTGGAAGGATAAAACCATATAAGTTACAAATATCATAAGTGTAACAGATGTTTCAAGAAGAAGGCATATACATGATGAGATAAATCAGCATCCATGATGACAATGAAATTTCCTGTAGCATGTTTAATTCCATGCATATAAGCTGTGCCTAGTCCAAGCTTCTTTTCCCTGGGTCTCAGGACAATCCTATTTTCCCCATAGACATTCTGCAGCTGTTTAGCCATATCCAGTGTTCCGTCTGGAGAACCATCGTCTATCACGATTATCTCATAATCAAGTTCGCTAGAATGTTGTATATTTTCGCTTGACTGATGAACCTTTCGTATTTCATAGTATTAACGTTAAATTTCACCCTACAGTAGCAATGTTCTCGCTCATAGTTGAGGTTATGTAGACACTGTAGTTACCTCTCGTCCATATATTTGGTGATAAGCCAAATAATTATAGGTAAATTCTCTACCTCGTTGTAGGTGGGAAGCAAAATTGAATACTTGTCATTTTTAGCCAATTCTTTGATATCCTTTTTCGTTTGTTCTCTCTCGACCATTTTTGACACGAATTTTTAAGGCATACACGTCACGGACGGACTCTGCCTTATCGAGCGCCGCACTTCCAAACGGGGATAACGATCCGCGCGCTTTCAAAAAACTTGTCAGTAAAGTAGTCATCTTTCAATGACATATTTCGCAATTAGTAATGGTTCTCAACGTTATTGCAATTTCGAGTTAGCATTAATTAATTCAAAAATATCTATTACAGCTATTTAGGCATGGAAGAATTAGAAGATCGGTCGATAAAAACGTACCAATAAAGTTCAATATAATTTCCACCCCTTTGTAGCGAATTAATAAAGAAATAATTTGAAACGTCCATTTTAATCCAGTTTGCACTTAAAATAAAATTAAAATAATTCTATTGCCTGAAATAAAACATAATACATAGTTAAAAGTTCAAGTACTTCGCGACAAAAAGGGGTAAGCGCGCCTGGATAAGCACCACCGCCTTTCACCTTCTGGAAAAAGCTTGAAGGAAGTGAAATTTGGTGTCGTGCGGTCATATAAACGCGTGACAATTATAATTACAATTACAGAAGGTGGTGCGAAAGTATTATAGACGCATAAGCGGTGGCCGCTTCCATCGGGTGCGACAAAGGTCGACCAACTGGCGTCCCCACCATGAAGAGAAGCAAGAGAGAACCACGACGGCGACCCCCCACCGTCGGCGGCAGAGATCCCGTGGAGCAGCCGCTGTCCCGAAGCAAACGACGCTCCTCACTGCACTCTTTGGTCGTCTACGGACCTAGAGTGTTCGTTCTGTTCTTCGGAGCGGTGTGATCAGCGTGTATCTCTGCGATTTAATCGACGTGTCTTTGGTACGTAGACCGGTGAGAAAAGAAAAAGGTGATTCGTTCGCACGTGTGAGTCACTCTCGGTGGGTCTGACCTAACCGAGTCACCGTCGCGATCATAGTTTAAAAAAGGAAAGTAAAATAAAAAAAGAAAAGAAATCTCTGCTAGTCGTTTGTGGAATTGCAAAATCTCTCGTGGGTGTGTACGTGTGTATATACATGTGCTCCTGTGAACACCGAGTGTGATTATCGCGGGTGAATCGTTTCCTTTGATCAAGAATCCTCCAGTTTTGCGTACATCGCGTTTAAATGATCGCAACAGTCCGATGACGTCTTCTGCAATTTCGACAGATTTTTGAATCGACAAGTCCAAACCCTGTTATCATCGATCAGACTTCGACGTTTGATGAATCGAAATACGATAAGAAGAATTATGAATAAAAAGAGGACAACGCGCACTCATTCATGCGGCTGCATTGTGTATCGCTCGCGTTACTCGATGCTACTCCAAAACGATCGCATACAACGAACGATTCATCGTTCGCGAACGTATCGAGCAATACTATTTTCTCTTCCTATCGTTATGAAGGGGAGTCTTGTTCTTTCTCACGAGAAAGATAATCGTTGGAGAAAAAGACGACACGGTTGGTCCGCGTCGCGTGCAAGGGTGGTGACTTTCCGCGGTGGTGGAGGGACCTTGGGGTGTTTCAGATGCATCAGTCGTTGCATCTACCAGTAGTACACGATTAATTTAACGAATGAACAGATGAATTCGTCGCTCGACTTATCTGCTGTTCGCACCCTTCGAGGTGACGAACTTTCGTGAGGTTACAAGAGGGAGGCTGTGTTAGTATTTTCTGGTCCAGGTGGAGTAGGCCATGCGGTATTTTATGGGATCGGGGGCGGGTTTTCCGGATTTAGCGAAGGCCAACGGTGGAGCAGAGAGTCAGACAGACTGGGAAGCAAGCGGACTGGTTCGGGCAAATAACAGCAAGCATGGCGTACGCTGCACGAGGGGTAGATTGGTCCGCTCCGCACCCTGCGATCAATAAACCCACCGAGAGGGAGCAGCTCCGTGACGAGCCGCACTACTCCGTGCTTCTGTTTCTCCTCTCTCTCTTCTCCTCTTCGCTAGTTCTGCTCTCCTACTGGTTCTCCTCTTCCTACCTGACTCACGCTATCAACGATTCAGCACGTGCACGCTGAATCGCCGGCGCTTTTGAAAAACGACAGCCAACGTGTTCCTCGGATTATCACGAGCCGATGGATGCTAAAGGCTTAGGCTTCGCGCACTTTTCATTCTCGCACATTGATTTCCTTATTTTCTTTCGTTTCTTTCTTTGCTTTGCCGGTTGACGCGCAGAAACCACCGTGTATCATCTTTAGGTGGGCTTCATTTTTGCTGCTTATACTACTTCTTATTTTATACGATGATGCAGCTTTTGTATCTTATCGTTGCGCATAGCGTATCGGTCGTATGAGAATGTAAAAACAGAGGGAACTATCAAGTACGACCGATGACGTGGATAGCTACCGCTTTCGCAATTTGCATAGGTTACGGTCATGCATGATTTTCAGCTGAGAGTTTGAAAAAAGGAAGGCAAAAAATATTCAGAGTATAATCAACGCCGGTCTTATCGAGCAAGCCGGCGAGGACGAACCAGTCGGCCTTGAACCGTATAAAGGTCACTCGATTCGAATATATTCATTGAACGCGTGCGTAGGAGGAACTGCGTGTGTCCTAACTGATCGTCAGCCAGGAAGCGACTCCGGAAAACATTTCTGACGTTGATCGTTTCTTTTCCATCTATCGAGTCGTAGAAAGAGTTAGCTGGACTGTTGCGATCGTTTAAGTCGTTACGATCAGTGAATCAATTGTTCAGTCGAGTGTTTTTCTGTGAAATCAGGTGAGAATCAGTGCGATCAAGGAAAACAGGATCAGTATGTGGCGCGATCCTCCAGGAGGGGGGTGTAACATACCCACCTACATCACGATGATGCTTCTGTTGGCTGTATTGGCATTGACGAACGGTGAGTCAACAAGAAATAAAATGTTTTCCAAGGCTGTTTTTTTTTTTTTTTTATGAAAATGTATAGCAGCGCACAAAGAGGAGAATTCAGAGTACGTTTAACGAGCTGAAAGTATGCGTTGCTGCGTTTTATCTTGTCCATCTAATCGTTTATGCATCGACGTGCCGCTGCAAGCTGTGAGGTCAGCAGCTGACGCAGTATCTCATCTTTCGTTTAACAATCTTCCGGATGACACGTTCCTTGGATGCTCGGGATCAATAGGGAGAACTAACCACGGGCAATCCAGAAGAATCTTATAATTGCTATTCAACGTTTCGTGCTTGTTCGCTTAACAAAAGCGTAATCAAAACGTGCTCCTCTTTTTTTAAACAATGACCAAGTTAACGTTGTATTTTGTTACCTCTTGAAACCTTGATACGCTAGCTGCCTAAGCTCTCAAGCTGATGATCTTCGTGTTTGTATTCTCTCGAGAAATTGTAGACTTTAATAGAATAGCGAGTCTCAGCGGACCCAGTGTCTCTTAAGGTTGACATTTCGAGCAATTTGGGCAGCAATTTTGTCCCCAGTGGAAATGGACAGACGGAAAAGCGCGTTCGTTGTTGTCGATGCAATCTCGCGTTGGTTCGTTACGAATCCGTCATTCCGTGAAAGGTCCACGAAGCGTAGGTAGATAGGTTGAAACGGAGCACGGTGTGCAGCTGCTGAAGAAAAGGCCAAGAAAGGGCAGGGGGAGAGAGAGGAAACGAAGGGAAAGGAACAGCTGCTGTTCCCAGAACGGACGCCCATGTCTGAAAGAGAATCGTATTTTCTCGGTGCACCGTGCACCGCCAGGTGAATCCTTTGATTTTTGCATCCCTACTTGCAGCACGAGATACACAGACGATGATTTAGTGGACAACGAATTCGTTTTAATTAATGTCATAAATGGAGGACGAAATTTCTCTTCCATAACGATGCAGTAAAAATTATTGACACTTCGAAGGCTGGTATTAAGCTCAAATTCGTGATTTTGGTTTTTAGGAAACGTATTTAGGTATTTATAAAGCGATAGCGTTTATTTATTCTATCCACGGACGGTAAACTGTTGAAAAAGGAAGAAAAATACACGAGCGTAGCGAATTAAACGTACAAAGGTAGCGTTCTCTGCAGGAGCAAAGGTCCTCAACTTGAAAGAGCCGGGGTTTAAAAATAGTTCCCAACTAAATCGGACAAACCGACGAAACTGGTACTTGACCCAAAACACAGAATGCAAGGATTATACATATAGATACTTTGAATTTCCGTTCGTCAATTTAAAACACGAGGAAGGATCGCGATTTCGCGTGACCGGCAGCCAGAAACGCCTCCGTTCCGCGTTGTCGTTTGTTGAATGAACGAGCTTGTTCATTAACATCGACGGCGATGCAAAATAGTGGAGAGAAAGGAGCCGTGGTTACATTGATCGATGACCCGATAATTTCCAGCGTACCGAGGCTGTTTTTCCTAAAGTTCTAGCATTACGCGTCCACGATCAAAGACGGGATTCCTCGCGGTCGATAACCGTTCTGTAATCTATATATAGGCAAGCTTCGAAACGTCCGTACACGCTGCATCGAATATATTTCCAGCAAAGATAGGACGCGCGTACGCGGCCATATAACGTGTTCACACGACGAAAACGTGAGCAGATGTGACTCACGCACGATTCACGTTCCGTAGGGACTCGAAGGATCGTGACGGTCATAATGATCGGCAACTTTTGAAAAGCTGGAAGCCGACCGCCATTCGGTCTCTTCTGGATCGTTTGGCACTTCGCCTTCTCTTCAGAATACCAAAAAGTGTGTCAGCCACTTCGGAGACGAATAAGACTCTATTGTGAAGGCAACCAGGTACCGAGGTATCCATCAACGCTTTAGAAATGAAAATTTTCATTCAATCCCGAACGATTTCGCGGTATCTTCACAAGAGAATATGAAAATGGACACCTGAATGCCCAGAAGTCACGTACAGCTAATGCCGGTCATAAAAGTGTTAATAGTCGACTTTCAACGACGTGTATGTACGTCAATTATAATTAAATTCACACCATGTTCACGCGATGGTAAGGAACAAAGCAAGGCTAGGCACGCCAAAGAAAGCGAGAAGGATGAGAGAGGGCAACAGTTCCGATCCAACGAAAGTTCAGAACACCTGTTCTTGGTACCTGCACGCCTCCTGTTCGTTCTTTCGGTCTCTGTACACTTTTAGTAACCGGTTCTTCGTGACTCGGATTTTATTGCACACTGCATTTACCCGTTCTCGGCGCGTCGCAACCGCGAGTTAAGCTGGTAGGCGGTTACACCGCTTGGAAAGTGGCACATGGAACTCTTGTATAATCGTAAACAGCAGTGAACTTGCGTTCCGAGGTTGAAAATTATATTAGCGAAGGGCTTCCTTCTACTTCCGCTATAACTTCCTTGCCTTATTCGTTCTTCTCTCTTCGATTAGTCGTCTGAAATTCTCGAGATCACTATCATCCTTCGTAAGGTACCAATTCGCGATCATACAGGGAGAACGCGCTCAAGGAGGAATTTCAATCAGAGAGCACGTTCGAACGGCGAACTCTTCGCGCATCGATGGATGCGGCAAGGAACACTGCTCTCCTCGACGGAAAAGGAATCACGCATTGTCGTCTCCCTTATGGTCACGTGACGTTGATAGCATATTATTCAATAGCAGAGACCGGCAACCTGTTGTTTGCTGCAATTGGCGACGCGCCAATTGAACGTGGGTGTCGCGTATCCTGGTGGAGACGGATGATAAGCGAAACCTAAAGACATGCAACAAAACTCCCTTTGCCGGAGACGGTTTCGACTAATTAAATCTCATAGCGTTGATTAGCGTTCTGCTAAGTGACGAGACCATAAGTAATTGACGGGACAATTGAATCGTTAGAGTAGCCTAGTGAACTTACGATTCTTCTATTCCTTGTTTTTCCAGTGGCTTGCGCTGAGGATGAATCTATGGGACCGGTATTTGTCAAGGAACCACCAAATCGAGTTGATTTCTCTAACGGAACCGGTGCTGTCGTCGAATGCCAGGCTAGAGGAAACCCCCAACCGGATATTATTTGGGTTCGTGCTGACGGAAGTGCTGTTGGAGATGTTCCCGGACTTCGACAGGTAATTCATTTTCTAGTGTCATTCGATTCGATAGATTCTCCTTCCCTAGAAATAATTAAAATCGTGTTATTGGTAAATTCGACTCCCACGCGTGATGCATTCACCGATGCAACGAACGATCTTACGTCAGTCGTTCGGCAAGGAAGGCCGAATTAATTGACACCTTATTAGAACTTGCTTTTCATCGATGGAAAATTGCGTGTCTACAGGTCTTGCCGAACGGAAACTTGGTCTTCCCTCCTTTCCGTGCCGAGGATTATCGTCAAGAGGTTCATGCTCAGGTTTACAGCTGTCTGGCGCGTTCCCCTGCAGGTTCAGTTCACAGCCGAGATGTTAACGTGAGAGCCGGTAAGTGGTTATCCTCTTATATTTCAAAACCCCGCGAAACGATTACCGTTGCCTGGCCATCTGTTGTTTTCCAAACAAGATAACGTGTTAATTTAAGCCAGATTGAATTTTGATAGCTATACAGAGTGTGAACGTCTTGTCATTGTCAAAGTGGAAGAAGAAAATTATTTATTACAATTTGACAAGCAACAAGATTTAGTCGAAGCATCTTTTGTGAAATTAATTAATAACTTGGACAGATCTTTTATCTGTGAAAAATGACAGTGATACGACGTTGAAAGATTGGCCAGGCACGGAGACTAAAACGATTTCTTTACAGCTGTTTCGAACAGCGAACAAAGCAGTGTCTCCGAACCTTAGTAGGTCAGTATTTGTCGCGATATGTAAACGGTGAGCACAGGATATCGGTGGCAATTATTACAAGTACCCCGAACTTACGGTTCAAAAGTAGAACAGGATTTCCATAACGAGTAATCGCCGCCGCCGCCGTTGTTCGCATAAACAATCGTTGCTCTCCAATTTCCATTCGTCGAAAAATCTGTAATATTCTGCTCGTTAATATTCCGAAAATTTTTAATCGTCGATCAAGCGTGGCAATTCCCTCGAACGCACATCGTTGACCCACTGCAGTCGCTTGACCCAGTTTAACAAACTCCAGTTAAAATTTCCCGATGAAAATTAAAACCGGTTTATGACCACTTCAGGCAAGCAATTAAAAAAAAGACAAATATAATTTTTTATCTGAAACGGCTATATTTCTCGGAGAATGGAGAGCAACGTTTTTCACTGCTGAATTTCGATAATATGAATTTTTAATTAAACGACGACAATCACCAGTGGTGGCACAATACTACGACACAGACGTCAACAAGGAGTACGCGATTCGTGGAAACAGTGCCATTTTGAAGTGCGTCGTTCCGTCCTTTGTCGCCGATTTCGTGAAGGTTTTGTCCTGGCATACCGACGAAGGGGAAGAATTCGTACCTGGCGACGATTACGGTACAATTATCGAGGAATTCGAACGAAAGAAACGTACCGATGAATCGCGATCGTCGTTCTAACGAGCAAATCGTTACGCAGTCGCGTTCTTGAAACGGAAAAATGAATCCTTCGAACCGTATCGAACGAGCATGCAAGGAAGGAAGCGTCTGTCGTGTCGACAGTTTGCGTGTATCACGTTTATTGATGCATATTGAGGCCGCGTGTAATGCATCGAAGCAATTGTCACGCCATGCAACGAGCCGCGAATCCATATAAAATAGAGCAATGGACCGAAAGCGTGGGTCACTCGCTTGCATGATTGATGTGCATACTCGGTGCGTAACACATCAACGCGAATAAAATAATACTCGTTGTAAAAATTCCTTTGCGACGAGGTATCTTTCTTTTCTAATTGCAACTTTAAAATTTCCATTTCGTGCCTCTAATTATAACCATCGAAGTTCGTCGGTCTTGAATGATTTATGAAAAAAAAACACCCCGTATATCGTGGATGCGAGAACATTGTCACTCATCTCGTTAGCGTTGTTCCCAGCTCGTTGCTTTTACCGGGGAGCGTAGTGGCCCAAATAATTGGAGCGCATCGTCGACATCGACGTCGACGTCAGACGTTTCTCTTCACCTCTGTCTCTCCTCTCTCTCACACTATTTCATTCTCTTCCCTGTTCGCATTTCTCTCCTCGTGTGCTTGCTCGCACATGCGTAGAAACGTATGTGCATCCACATATACACAGAAATGACGGCACACAAGTGATAGCCAGCCGTGCACCGATCGTTTGCCACCGTGTCGACGCGTTCCTCTTGGATGCAACCTTTTCTAAGCTCGCGACTGCGGCGTAAGATGCGACCTAGCGAATCGATCTGCTCGAAGGGCGACGACGACGACGAATAAGTCAGCGGAGTTAGCTGTCGTCAACGTCGTGCGTCCAAACTGTTCTTCGTTACACCGAGATCTTTGCTTATCTGACCACTTCCGGTTCCAATGAGTTTCATTATCTTTTTATTTTTTTATTTTTTTGAAATCACATCGACAACGGGCATACAAGGGGTTACAGAGAACAACGAGATCGATAATGCCACGGTTCTACGTATTTCACAGCTGGTGCATGCAACTAATGATAATCGTAACAAGCGTTAAGTAGTAATTGGCGCGAGCGGACGCGCATCGCTTAGAACCGTGTCCGATAATCAGCGTTTCCGTCTATTGTAGTGGTGCACCAGTATTATCAGTCCGAAGTCAACAACGAGTACGTGATACGCGGCAACGCGGCTATTCTAAAGTGCAGCATACCGAGCTTCGTCGCGGAATTTGTTCAAGTGGTCGGTTGGCAGGACGACCAAGGAAACTCTTTCAATCCGGACGAGAAGAACGGTAGGGCAGGGAGGGAGAAAAGTTTTTAAAGGTTTTCGATGAAAGTCGAGTTTAACGCTGGTCAACGTCGTATGATACTCGAGACGATTGTCTTTTGACGATGAAAGGGGTGCCGGACCGTTCGGTTTTTCACGCCAGAGGAAAAGTTTCTCCACGAACGGAACAGAGTTTAACCCGTCGCCCCTGTTTCTTCTAGTCGTGACTCAGTACTACGAAGCGGAGGTCGTGTCCGAATACGTGATACGCGGAAATGCAGCCATCTTGAAATGCACCATACCCAGCTTCGTCGCGGAATTCGTGTCGGTAGACTCCTGGGTTGGAAGCGACGGTTCAACCTTCAAGCCGTCCAACGACTACGGTACACCCATTCGTTCTCGTCCCCTTTCCTCACAGCTCCCAGAATCCTTGGCTGGGACGAGTTTTTTCCTTGGACCGTAGCCCCGGTTCCCTGCCGAACTTGCCGAGAGTTCAAAGTGGCACGTGGTAACGATTCGTTTCCGGCGCGGACCAGTCTGGTGGCAGTTGAACGGCGGCGGCAACGCGAGGGTTAACGAACCATCCACTGTGGCTCTCACGCTGGGATTAGATGACTCTTCTAAGAAAATAAACCGACTCGATTACGTCCGTTAGGAAATCGCGCGAAAATCTCGATGGAGCTGAACGCGAGACGTTTAATGGAATCCTTGCTTTCCATCCCGTGGAAATTCGACGTTTAAACTAGAACTATTAGAAATGTCGAGTTACCAATTGTTTCCCGTACAGTCGTTACGCAGCCGTATCAGCCGGAAATTCTCACGGAATACGTAATCAGGGGTAACAGCGCGATCTTGAAGTGCAGCATCCCAAGTTACATAGCGGAGTTCGTTACGGTCGAGGCATGGATCAAGGAGGACGGAGAAGTCTATCTTCCGGAGGATCCTGCTGTCGGGCAGGGTACTGTGTGCGGGGTTCAACTTAATCGGGACTAGACACGCCTCACGGTTAATACCCTTGTCAGCCAGCAGCACGTAATGTCTGCGGAAACTTTGGCTCGTATCGCGATTAATCTGACGGCCATTTCCTCGTGAGCTCCGGTTGCAATTAATTTCTACTCGAAGGATAACGGTAGAAAATAATTGGCGATGAACAGAAAAGAAATAACTCTGAGGCGTGTCGATCGAATTCTACGAATCTATGTGTGGTAGCTAACTGGATGCGAATCGCATAATTCATCAATAAATGATTTTTAACGCATATATCCTGGTTATGCCCGCGCGGGCAGTCGTTTCGCAGTTCTTCGTGACCGAGGCGGAGAACGAGTACGTGATACGGGCAAACAGCGCGATCATGAAATGCAAAATACCGAGTTTCGTGTCCGAGTTCGTGCACGTGGATCAATGGGTGGCCGACGATGGAACGGTATACACGACCGGAGATGATTACGGTAGGCGACGATCTCGATCTCTCGTAGAAACTAGAAGAGATCGTTGCTACGTTTCCTCATTTTCTCGATGCTTTCAATTCCTTTCCCCCTCGAACGAACGAAATTCCGAAACGACGGGACGGGAAGTGAATCGGTCGCGACGCTAATTTAAAAAACTCTCTCTCTCTCTCTCTCTCTCGTCGTAACTTTGCCCGTCGACAAAGAATTTTGCCGTTTCGTGTCGCGATATCTTCTGGGAGAATGCGCGTTGCAGTGGTCCAGCAGTTCTACGAGACGAGGGTCATCGACGAGTTCGTGTTGCGCGGCAACACGGCAACCTTGAAGTGCCTTGTACCGAGCTTTGTGGCGGATTTCGTAGACGTGATCGAGTGGTTGGCTGTCGAGGACGGGTCCACCTACACCGCGAACGACCAAGAAGAAAAGGGTACTTCTCGATTAAAAAAGAGGGAGGATATTTAGCGAGGCTGCGATGAGCACGGCTTTAACCCTTTCAAGTCTACCGATCTATGTATATGTTCCATTGAAACGCTCGTCGCGGGCTAAACTGTTCGCTCGCACTCGCAATGGCAAATTTTTAGTGAAATTCTCCAAAGTTCCACGTTGTACATTCGTCGCGAAACTATTTACAGCTGAATCAATTAAGAGCAATGTAATTTCCCTTTTTTTGTCGCGCAACGTTTGAAAAGAAACGTGTCGTCGAGTCAGTCTGGACGGTTTATCGAAAACGGTCTCCGCATAACGCGACCGTTAGCCGCCTACGTTTAATTTCCAGCCAACAAGTCCTGCCGGCATTTTAATGGAATTAATAAATGGAATTACCAGCGTGCTCATCCCTCGCGCGAACAGACGGGCTTCGGCTTGCTCGCTTTGATGCTCCAAGCCGGAGCAGCGTCCGTATTGTTCTCTCGCTCTCAGGGTGTACAGGATATGCTCGTAGCACGGTGAAGAAGAGAGGTGGCCTGATAGAGTGGAACGTGCAATTTGCTCGCCTATGAAAAGTTTGCCCTTTCCGTTAGCACGCCGATGCAAGCAACAGCGGAGGCAGAGCGTGCGGCTGGCAGTGGCCTCGTTCCTCTTCGCGATTAGGTTAAAAGTCTGGGTTAATCGTGTCGTGGTGGGAATTAATGTGACCGCGAACAACTTTACTCCGTTCCCGTTCGACTATCGATCGTTCCTAGGTAGTACCGACTAATGGAATTTATTTCACAGTCGATTGACCAAGAACTTTGAGATGCTCGAGGTGTTGCTCGTTCGACCCCTGGTTGG